ATTTAAAACACAGTGCTAAGGCACTTGGAGTGTCTTCCTGTCCATTCTGGCCTCCTTTGTCCATTTGTTCCAGAGAAAGACTTGATTGTGCTGGGCTGGAACAGGAGGCCTTGTCCTGCTGGGCCTACTTGCTGGTTCTCTCCCTGAGTACGAAACCCAAGTCCTTCCCTGTGCACAAACCTGCTTGGCTGAGCAAGTTGCATCTTACTGGGGCAGGGGGGAAATGAGGCTTAAACAGCATGTGAAATTTCCTTTGTACCTTACGTTACATGGCTTTGTGCTTTCCATTTTGACTTCTTTCTCCCAGACCCATTTTAGTGTCCTCTGCAGAAGAAAGGGCTGAGAATGGAGATGAAAGATTTGTTCTGTTGCTAGTTAACCCATTCCCACTGGTGCAGTTTGTTGCAAATCAAAATTAGTCGCTGTTTTCTGGCTCTTTGCCCTGTTGATAGTTGAAGATACTGCACTGGGGTTGACAGATGCAGCAGAAGTCAGAGGCATTTGTGAGGGAGGAGACGTCAGGAGATGAAAGAAGTTAGGAGCAGAGGGCCTGTATCTGTAAGATGTGATGGCAGCTTCTTTGATGCAGCATGGAGTAAGGTGTTGTCCAGCAGGGTTCAGCTCCCCTGGCTGTGGGCTTAGCAACACAGTTCTTTGTCAGGGCTGGACTACCCTAAATTCTGGTGTTTCGGGTGGAAACTTAGCTCAATTTAGGATTTACAGATTGGATTTATTGGTGATTGCTGATCTGCATTGAGGAGTTGGTTTGTGGAACTGATCTCTATTCCATGTGCCCAGTGCTCAAAAGGGAGCTCGGGAACCAATGTATGGAGTGTGGTCATTTGCTTCTTAGGAGTGATTGTTTCTATACACCTGGAAAAAGTGGTTGAATTGCAGCCGATGAGATGCTTCCTTTCAAATCTGTCAAAACTGGGTTGCTTAAGTAAAGCTCAGTCATGTCATGAATCTTACATTCTTCCTTCTGAGAATAACCTGCAGCTCAGATTTCCTCAAGCAAACCGTACATCTTGCTGAAAAAATGTGCTGTTTTTCAAGGCTATTCCGTACCTTTTCTTCACAGAATGTCAGATCTTTTATATAGAAGAGTTCAGGCTTCTTTATCATTTCTGTCATATCTTTCTTCTTGGACCATATCAATTCAAAACTGACTGCAGTTAGCTTTGCCACAACAGCAGGATTACAGATATATTCCTGATAGGAAAGGAATGTGTTCTGTTATTATTTTTTAATCTCACTTCCCTGGATCCTCGGGTGCTATTAATTTAAAGCTTCAATTGCAATCTGAATCCCATGGTCCTTGTTGCCTTTATTGAAGAGCAGAGAAAATGGAGACTGAATGGAATTTTGGCTCTGTTTGAAGAGGTTGTGGTAGTTGGTCAGGCACCTGTAGTCCTAGTTTATGAGAAATGCCAGGCACTTGCAGATCAAGTGAATGGTCAGAAGAGACATGTTTTCTGAGCAACACAGGAAATTAAGTGTTCAAATATATACTGGGTGCCTGAGGCCAAAAACCTTGGCTGGGATGACAGCCTCATCTTGTCATTGTGAATTTCTGGGAGAGTCTAGGTTAGAACCTGTAGAGGCTGGGGACCTCCTCTCAAATCAATCTCACAGTGTACTTTCTTAAACCACCTCATTTGTAGGTATTCCCTCTTTCCCAACTTCGCACCTTCCTGAAATGGTTACTTTCCTTATGCAGGATTGGGACTTCTCAGGTCAAGGGCAGACCAAGGAGCCCAGCCATGGTTGCTGCTTAATCTTTTAAATACCACGTCCATGCTGCTGCCTGGTGTGGTTTGCCTCCAGACAGCAGCTGTCAGATCACACCATCTCTGATCTGCCCCGAGATTTGGGAGCCACAGTGGGGTTCTGACTCCTACCCTGGTAAATCTGCTCCATTAATAGCTATCAAAGAGCCTGAAGTTTCCATCCGAACTTCATCTGGCTTTGCAACAAGCTGGGGGATTAGAGACCGTCACAGGGGAAGGGAGGGAGCAGCCGTGGCTCACTCGGAATAGCCTGACCTATGACGGCATGTACCAGCCTGGGGACGGGAGTTGTCCTGTGAGCTCACAGGTTATTAGCAGAGAGAAAAGGCATGCCTTCGGTCAGCAGCACACCCAGGGCCATCTGCTTGGTGTAGGGGCTCTGGGGGAATCTGTTACTATAGTTTGCCTGCTCTACTCTCTTGGAAGAGCTGGGAGTAAGTTTGAGGGCCAGCCTTGTGGAGCCATTGTTTTATACTGCTCAAATGGAATTTGGATTTGACATCTGTGGGTTGTGCCATAGCATGTAATAAAAGGACCAGCGGACTGCATAGCTGAGACTTGTGTACAGGGCCTGCAGGTATGGGGTGCAAGCCTTTGCGTAGCACTAGAGGAAAACTGAGGGCTGGGCCCCTTCCAATCCTGACTGTTTTATAGGACCTGTGCAGAGCCTGATCTTCTCAGCTGGTTGGATGACCCCAGACTGATGTGCTTGTCCCCCTGGCAGCAGATAACTCCCTACACATGTGGGAAGTGGGGAGGCAGGCCATCTCAAAGAATGGTCTGTGAGTATGGATGCACTGAGGCTGTTGTAAACCTTTGACCCTTGGTGACATATTCCAGATTCCTTCGAGTTAAACAGTCTCCTTCCCTCCAGGCCTGAAAGCATCATGTCTCCTGATTAGCCAGACAGATGTATTGCCTCAGACAAAGCTCCTTTATATGCACAACAATTCTCTTGATCTTCTCATTAAGAACTTCTTTCCTTAGACTTTGCAGCTTATGTTTTTGCTGGGCACTTACCATTGCTGGTGACACTTCCGGTGTGATGGTGCTTTTCATGTATCAGACAATTAGAAAGTCACACATTGGTTGGGAAATCCTTGCCCTAATAGATCTGGTAGCATAAGGAAGTACAGCTGAGCATGAGGCCTTTGAGTAGCATTCTTAGAAGAGGTTCCCAGTACTGATTCTGGAAGACGAATCCACATTGAATCCTTCTCCTAATTGTTAGAATGGCAAAGAAGCATGTAGCCTGAGCAGGAGCAGCGTTCCCATGGCATATACCCACCTTCACTGATGCAGGTGAGCAAAGGAGGCACCAGTAGCTGATGTACAGGACTCTGCCTGTCCGAACAGTACAGCTTTTCTTCTGGTCTCCAGCAAACTTGTGTGTGCCAAGGGTTTGAGAGGAAGGTGGGAATAATCGTGCTGTCTGCATCTTGCTATGACAGCTTTATAGCTGCAGTGCATGCTGCTGTCGCTTGAGATAACTCACGTTTTCAGTCACAAGCTGTGGTCTTCATATATATATGTGTCTCCCTCTCACCTTTGGCTGACACATGAATATCTCAAATACTCCTGGAGCTGAGGAGGGGCTGCTGAGCAGGAAAAAAATAAAAAAAAAAAAACCAGTGATTCCTTCCTGGACATTCAATCCCAGACTAAATAAAGGGATTTATAAGCTGAATGACTGCCCTGATTTCTCGTGCCCAGCTCTAGAGTCAGTTACTGCGGTCATGGCTAAGCTGGGGAATGTGTGTGTTTATGTAGGAGTGGGGAATTGAGATTAGCCTCACAGACTTAACACAGATGCCCTCCTCCCTGCCTGTGCAGTAAGATGAGAGTGGGCCAGTAGGTGAATGTTGCATCCTGTTGTGTGGACCTTCACATTGCCATTTTGGGCACCGAAAATAGAAGTCTAATCCCTGCCCTGCAGGAGGATAATCCTCTTTACATTCTCTGAAAAGATCCATGCGTAGTATAAGGGGTTGGAGGAAGCTGATTCAGGTGGCCTCCCTGAAGGGACTGATGACAGAAAAGCTGAAGCAGGTTCTTGCTTCAGTCCTCTGAACATGATGGTTGAGATCTATGGATTAAGGTCTGTTGTGTTCAGCAGAGCAGGATACTTCTGCTTTCGGGTGCTTTTGCCTTTTTGGAAGTCAGGCTCTTAGCAGCCAGCACTCCCTTTCTTGTCCAAGCATTCCCTCAACACTCTTTATTGCCCACCTCTTGCTCTAGAGAATCCCATGTGACTGAGGACTTAGTAGGCTTTTCTGTGTTTTTTTTAATTGGCACTACAAGACAAGGCTTTATTTTTGATTAACAACGATGTTGTAATCAAGTTCAACCAGCTGTAGTTTGTATCCTTGTCTCCCTGCTGCTGGAGTTACTTAAGGCACAGCAGATACTGCTGCCATCCTCTGCAGCTGCAGTTTGCCTGGGACCTGCCTTCCTGCCCAGAAAGTGAAGTGCTTTGTTCATGGCACCAGAGCGACCCACTTAGCTGCACAGAGTTCATTAAAAGTGAAGTGTGATAAGGGAAGTACTCTGATAAGGAGTTTTTTGTAGGCTGTGTGGAGCTGAGCTGTGGTGAGAGGTGGTGAGAGGAAAAGGGCTGGCTGCTGACACTCTCAAATGTGATAGTGTCGCATAGGCTCATGGTGTCAGGGCCCCAAGTATTCTCAACAGACAGCTGCTGCCAAGCATGTGCACTGTGAGAAAAGGGGGGAAAAATATGAGACTTTCACTACTCTATCCATTGTCTTTTTCCTAGGACATCTCTGCACAGCTTTCTGTGTTTTAGGGCAGCACAGTCTGGCTGTTCCTAGAGCAAAATCCTACCCTGTCTGGACCAGTCTTGTGTTGAACCAAAAAGAGCACAACCACAGAAATGAAGGCATGTTAGGGATGTGGTTTGTCTCATGTTGGTCCAGGAGATGCATTAGACCCGTGAAGAGCAAACCTCAGTCATGCTCTTCTATACAGGAAAGTATTAGAGGTCTGAGTTCATCCTGAGTCATCTATAAATCCTTTTTCAAACTGTGACTACTTGGAGAAATACTGCAGAAATTCTAAGTACAAGAATAAGGAAGACTTCTTTAAACTTCCTTCTTTACAGCCTCATAAGAACTTGCAGTGGCTTCTGTTTGTCTGCTTTGTTCTATCTGTTCTGGGTTCTAAGTCTCTAATCTTTTCCCTCTCTTTCTACAGGTCCTTCAGAAGCTTGGGAAAGCAGACGAAACAAAAGATGAGCAGTTTGAACAGTGTGTGCAGAACTTCAACAAGCAGCTGGTAAGATGATTAGAGATATGTAATTTCACCCTGGGTTTCAGCATTAGTTTTTAATTATCTGTTGCAATTGGCGGAGGATGTTACATTAAATGATGCCGTAGTCATATTGAAATGACCCACAACTCTTAATTGTCCACTCATGAGAAATCACGCACTCTTCCAAATCCCCTATCGTGGACTGACTGTATGCTAAAAAGTAATGCATATTTTGGACCAAAGTTTAGGGGAAAAACATACTTCAGCCAGAACACTTCCTTCATTTAACAGCTACTTCACAATGTAATTGGTTCTGTTGGGCTGGATACAGAGGTAAGGGAGCAACATTATTTTTTCTGAAAGATGAAGAGGAGGGGAAACAGATTAGAAATGAAAAAAAAATGGAACAAGGGTAAATTAAGTTCCTGAAGTGCAACAAAAGGTGGAAGAGAGATGAACAGAGCAAATGAAATGTCCTTCCGTGGATAAGATCTATATGTAACTCTCTCTCCATCTTCACACAGTCACTGAGTCAAGCTTGAATCCTCAGTGTTTTATGTTTCTGCTTCTGACTTACCTTCTAGCACAGAAATATTTCAGTAGTGTAGCAATCCCTCCTTCCATGGACTGGAGTAGGATTACTTCTTGACCTGGGTGTGTGTTGTATTTGTAATATTCAGGCACCCGGATGAGGGAAGGTTACATCAATTGTCCCAGAGAGTCTACAAGGCTGACTGTAGCTTGGTGGGCTTGGTGCTAGGGAAAGTGCTGCTCTTGGCTCACAGCAGGAAGCGTGTGCCACCCCAAACTGCAGGTGGTGCTGGAGAAGGCCTTTAGTCTGGCATACTTGAGGCTTTTTTTTCTGGAGCTGTTAGTGGCAGCTGCATCGTATCTGTTAAGACTCAACAGATGTGGATCTGTGTCCCAAAATTGTCTGAGATGGGATTATCCACAGCTGAATATAATGAAAACCTTTCAGTCTGACTTGGACTTCTATTTAACCATGGCTGACTACAGATTCCTGGAGACTTATGATCATTCTCTTGGCAGAGATAGTTGCTGTTACTTCAGAAGTACATGCAACATCTCTGCAGCATGTCTACCCTTGGAATTCTCTAGGACACAGAGGAATACAGTTTGGCTACTTTCTGGGGACATGACATTACCAGATGTGACTTTTCCCTATCATTATTGAGACTGTCAGCAATTAGGGAATCTACTTTTTAAGAAAAACTGAAAAACATAGATTCAAATCTGTTTGGTATGGATTTTCAGTTTCCAAAGCCATCAGTCCAATGGTGCAGTGAGAAGCATAACAAAAAACTACTGCCTCTGTGCTCCTTACAGCTCAGTTTCTTTTCCTATTTTGCAAAGACAGTCCAAACAATTTATCGGAGGATCCAGAGGTGCTGCACGTTGTCTGTTGGTTTTGTTTTGACATGTGGTTTCCCTGTTAGTAAAATAAATGCAAGCAATACCTATTTCACAGGGCAGATCATAAAAGTGAGTTATCTGGATTGTCATCTGAGATTGAGGAGGTGTTATGCTGATAAGAAAGGGGGAAAACCTTTAACTGTATGTGTATATATACAACCTTACTTTCATTTTGAATGTATATACTACATGCATGTGGTGTGGTATGGCTGTGTGTGAGATCTCAGTGTCCTTTCCATACAGAATGTGCTCTAGTTGGAAGCATTAAGTCTGGAGGAAAGATGATCTTTCACTGCATACCTGTAACAGAGTAGCTGTCCTGTGGAACTCAGTGGGTTGCAACCAGAAAGTTTTTGAAACAGGAAGGGACTCTGAAAAATAGCCTTATGGCAGTAGCCTTGTTTGCTCAGTTGGTTAGAGGCTGCTCTAATTCTAAAGACTGCGCCGGGTCATGCTGGCACATATTCTCTGGTGGGGACTGTCAGTGAATGATGAGCAGATCTAAAAATAGTTTACTCATTTTATAAGGCATCTTATAGTTCTTCCAGATTGTGGATGAGTGGAGAGAAGGGAAGCCATTGCATTTTCCAGATCATTCTCCATTCAGATTGGTAAGAGAGATCACTGAGCTCTGAGTAGAGAGAGCTTTTTAGCTCAGGCAGATGGATTTGCTACGTGACAAATGAGCTGAACATAGTCATGCTTCTGGGCTTCAGGGCCTACAGTTGGCCCTCACAACGGATTCTCTTTGGCAATAAACCTCCCAGCTTGTTCTCTGTAAGGCTTTCTCAGTCCCAATGTCACTTGTTCCCAGGCAGCAGCACACACGGAAATGGTCCTTGGGGACCTGGGAGCAAGACACCTGAGGCAAAAGTGCAATGATTGAGACGTGCCAAGAATTGGCTTCTCTTTGCCTGCCTCTGAAATATTCTCAGGAGTGAGCAAGCAGGAGGCTGGTGGTAGCCCTTACACCTGGCACTGCCTCATGTTTCTGCCTGGCAGAGCTGCTGAGTTTTGATACCGTTGTTGCCAGTCCTGTGGAAATTCAGCATTTCACACCAAGTGCCTGAGAGACAAGCTGCTGCTGGTGTGCTTTGCATTCATCTCTGCCTGGCTCAGCCTCAGCAGGGCCGGCTGTGCAGCTCTGAGTATCCCTGCGGGGTTGTAGGTTTAATTCTTGCTCTTGCGCTGTAGGTTTGGCTGTGTCACATCTAAAAGCTTCTTTACGGACAGAGAGGGTGCCATACACATAAGTAAATCCAAGAAGTATTGTTTGTAAAATTGAAATTGTTATTTAGTCCAGGTCTAACTGTTACTTAAAAATAAAGAATAAGAATGCAGTTAAAACTCTTACGCCACTTCCTGGCATTGTGCTTTCCTTCTCACTGCTCCTCTGTGTCCTGAGGTCAGTGTTTGTTCTGGCAGTAGTGGGGTGTTAGGGTGAGTTGCCAACATCTGAAGTCCAGCACTGCCAGCAGTATGATGCTCATCTTGATGATGTCATCATTCTCTTTCTAGGATCCAGTTGGGGTCGTTTTTTGTATTTTTTTCCAATGTGCTTTTAAGCTACGTTCCATGTCTCTATTTCTCAAATCCTCTGCTATCCTATGAGACTTGTATTCTTCTCATGAATCTCATTATGAGACTCATAGCTCATTCTACATAAAATAACTCTTGTTATTGATATCTTTAGAAAACATAAACAAAAACTAAACAAAACCCAATGATGCGGTACCAACGGAAGTAACTAGAAGTAACACAAAGTAGCCCTAGCTACCAAGTCAATTAGGGAAGTTGCTCTCACTGCTAAGCCATACAAAACAGAGCTACTGGCTGATCAAGAAAAGTTTGGACAGGTCAGGACTGATGCCTCTGTTCTGAGGCCTTGCAAATGCAGTGTAGAGCCTGTGGCTTGTTGCAGAGAATGGCAATACTGTATTGCGTGGTTACAAGATGTCTGGCACAGTGCTCAGAATTGCTAATTGCGGAGTTGTCAAGTTTAGACTCAGAGCTGGGAAACCTGGGATGCTCTCCTCTTCTGCCCTGTGATAAGGGCTTTGGCAATCTACCTATATAAAGACACATTGAAAAACATACAAAAATGTTTCCAACTCAATCCTAGGAAGAGAATTATGACATCTTTTCTTTTGAAGCAGGGAGGGAAAATGCTTTAGGAAAGCTGACTACTACTAAGAAACAGCTCTATTGAAAATTACATCCTTAAATAGTGCTGAGTGAAAGGTATAATGAATGAAAGCGCGCACACACTCCTCCCATAAAACAAAAAATTGTGAAGAACTCCCAAAAATGCTCTTGTGGTTTTTCTCACAGTTATAAGTAATAGGTGATTCATTAGGTCTTTGAAGAGAAAACTCTTCCAGCCTTCCCAGCATAGCATTTCTTTTTTAAAATAAGCATCTTCCTGCACATACTGCCCTTGGATTTTACCTGGTTGTGTTATAGGCTCACAGTATTGAATTACATTGTGGTTGCAAGCGTGGCAGTATCTGCTCAAACATGGCTACACCAGTGTGTTGCAACACATCAACCTTTTCACAGTGCACATTTCTTTTGTGTTTGATTAAAATAACTCATTGTGCTCACTTCTCCTCAAAAGTCAGTGCTGTTATTCTGGTGCTAAGGTTTTAAGTCATCAGTGAAGGAAGAGAAATGAATATGTTAGTCAGCTAGAATTAGCACTGACCTTCCATTTTGGTCTGAGTTTTTCTTTCCTTCTGTGGATTTTTTTATTGTGAAATATGTATACTATTTATTTCCAATTTCTTTACATTCTACATTTTAAAATGACTGTGCAATGGTATTTCTTTCCTGAACATCTTCAAGTTCAACCATATCTCTGTAACTTCCCTCTGCATGCATTTAAACCTTGTGTTCTTCAATATCTTTACTGATGACCTTCCCTGCCGTAGAGCTTTTTAAAACCTCAAAACAGTGTTCAAGTTTAGTGATTCTTAAAAATGATATGGCTGCATTATGAAAATATATAGAACTGAGAGAGTTTACACATTCACTTCTTTTGTACCATTTCCTCTTCTGAACTAACATTTGCTAATTCTCTAAGTCCATGAATTCTAGTGCTGCTTTCTCTTAAGCCTTTCTTGCTTTGGACATAATTGATTGAGCTACTGGTGGTCCTCTGTGTGTGGTCTTTGATTACTGTGGCATCTCCCCTCTGACACTTTCTGATTGCACCACTAGAAAGTTTCATCTGCCCAGGTTTGCACGTTTACCTTAAGCTAGCAAAGAGCTCTGTTTACTTGCTCTGTATTGTAAGACATCCCTAGGACTTTAGCAGTTGTTATGGCCACTATTCCTTTATTCTTGTAAACTCTTTGGGTCACTTCCGTACATTTTTCTTTCCAAGGTCCAACTGTCTTTTATGAAGGCAGACAGCTTTTTGCTGTCCCTTTGTTTCCTTTGCTGATGGCAAAGCAGGAAAATAATAAATGTGAATTCATCCAGAACTTTTGAGGCAAAGAAATCAAATCAGAAACAGTGTTTGGAAGCAGATGGATTTCTTTACAACGCTAAGCTAGCAGTGCCATTTCAACAGCTGGGCAGATTTAGCCTCTGCTTAGAAAGCACAGCTGCACCAAAAGCACAAAGAATCTGGGCAGGAACTCAGTTGAGTGAAGAGGTGGCTGTGTTGTAGGGAGAGCTGATGGGAAACATCTGCTTGTAAAGTTATTAGCTCCGAGGCAGCTCTCAGAGAAGTTCTGTGAGCTCTTCATCTCTGGAGTTGTCTTCAGCTGTCAATATTCATTGAGCTGGGGGCCCCTCAAGGTACAAACTGGGGAGGAAAATGAGGAAATGGCAGTGGGGGCATGGATCTGACTGTGCTCAAAATGGAAGAGTGGTTATATTGAGGAAGGTGTACATGTGTGCATGTCTGACCTAACTTCGCTGTGAAAAGTTCTTACTAATCTGAGTTCTTCTGCAGCACTTATCTGTGTTGTCTGAAAGCTCAAGCAAGCAAAACTCAGGTTAGTGTCTGGTTTTAATCTTTCTTTTGCTGGTGTGCAAGGTCTGCTGTTGGCAAGCCACTTCTACAGTAAAGCTGAAGAAAAAGATTATTCCTGTATTTGCAAGCCCTGCAGTTTAAGTAGGGTATTTGGACAGGTCAGAGACCCCTTGTACTCTCTTTGCACAGGGGTTTTTAATTACAGTGTTACAGGAAAGTGGTGTACAAAACTGCTCCCAAAGCAGTACAAGACAATTAAATGCGTCTCATATAATCTGCAGGCTCCTTTCAGTTACATTTGTTGCACAGAACGACTAGCTTTTTTCTTACAAAGTAACTATTGTCTTTTAGACTATGTATAGTTATCTGTACAAAATTGAAACATTAAAGGTGACTGCTTCAAAAGCAGTTCACAGCTTCACTGACACAAACTTGATCAATAGTGTGGTGGTATTGTTGGCGGAACATGCATGCGAGTTACCAATTGTGGACCTACCAAGAAGATCAGAGGACTTTGTGGTCGTCTTGTTAATGTTTGTTCAGGCTGGTTAGAGGGCTGATGGTTGGCCCATCTGCAGGGTGAATTTTCCTTAGAAATGCTTGATTCCTCCCTCTTACTCTTTAAATGGGAAAATAACTGATGGTCTTCTCCTTATATTCACAGTCTGAAGGCACAAGGCTGCAGAAGGATCTCCGAACTTACTTGGCTTCTGTAAAAGGTAAGATCAGCATATGCAGAGGTGTTTCCTATCCTCAGACAGGGGTTTTAGAATAGAAAGAGTATTCATTTGGAAGGAACCTTCAAAGACCAACCAGTCCCGACCTCTTCAGAGCTAACCAAAAGCTAAAGCATGTTAAGTTGCCTATTGAACACTGGCAGGTACAAGGCATCAACTTTCTCTATCTAATGAAGAATGTTTCAGTGTTTGACTACCCTCATAGTAAAGACATTTTTCCTAATGCCTGGTCTGAACTTAGTGTATGCTCTCACTGGTTCCCAAAACCAATGTCTTGCAAATGGCAGTCAGGTCTACCCAGCTCCGAGGGGATGTTCTGGAGGCAGTGCTGTGTGGGTGCTCACAGCATGTGTAGTTACTGAAATACATAGTAGTGTTTTCATGGTCCTGAATGAGGACTTGAACTGTACAGACAAATGCAGAAGAGGTCGTCATTGTCTAGTTGGGGGTTGCTTCAAGACTTTCTCAGATGGAGTGGGGTTGTGCTTTAATGCTGAGCTGGTGGTGCTCTCTTAGCAGATAGACTCTCATATCTCCTGCCTGGGGAAAATGAACACAGAATAGTTAATGTGACTGCATTCTTAGTTCCTTTTTTTCCTGTGATTACTTTCCATCTTTGTGTTATTAAGGGGCAGACATTCAGCAAGTCTCATCTTAGCATTTCTTGAAGCTTATTCAATGCTTCTTGCATTGAATTTCATTAAGAGATAAACTGTTTCCTTGTTTCTGAGGCAGTTACCTCTTCTTTCCTAGCTATGCACGAAGCCTCCAAGAAGCTGACGGAGTGTTTGCAGGAAGTTTATGAGCCGGACTGGCCTGGGAGAGATGACACAAATAAAATAGCAGAGGTAAGACTCAGAGGATGTAGACTCACTAGACTTGGTCTATCAGAGGAGATAAGCTTTGGAAACTGCATTAGTGAGCTAAATTCCTTTAGATGTGCAAATCAAAGAGACAAGGTGTTGAGAAGAAATGATAGCTGAGGGGATGTGGCCTGTATTTGTTTCCCAGACTTCTGAACACTATGAAGAGCCCTGTACTTATGCATACAAACAACTTTGTTCCCTCAGCAATGGCTAAAAAGGGACAGAATAAGTCAAAAGAGTGTCTATAATTAAGTAACTGGGTATGTTTTTCATTCTCTCTGCAAGAGGGATGGGAATATAAATTGATTCCCAAAGCATGATCAGAGTAGCTGTTGTGTAGCTGCGATCAACCTCCCACTCACAGCACTGCTACCAGCTACTGTATTTTACTTGCCACTTTGTTTGACTGGGCCATGTGTCACCCCAGCCTACTCTTCTCCTCATCATTTGGTGAGGTGATGCCTGTCCAACTTGCCCAGGTGTTTTCTGTGGAGTGTGGGGCACAACGCATCATTTGACAGCTTGGATCGTCCTTGGCATGTACGTGCAGTGGTCCATCTGGACACAGACATCCTCTGCTTGTCTTGTTCAGCTGTTCAACTGAACAGCAGCTGTGGCAGTTCAGCTCTGCCATGAGGCTGCAGGACAGGGCCTAGCTGCAGCTGTTTGTGGCAGCAAGGAAGGCACAGGGAGGAAAGCAAGGCGAAGATTGTTCCCTTCCCTGTGTTTTCCCTGCAGAATTCTCTCTTGAAATAACATTTCCATCTTACCCAGAAATACTGTCATTAAAACAGATAAAATTAAGCAAAACCAGGATGTTTCCAAGTCAATTCTTTCATTAATACAGAAACTTTCTATTATGAGATGCTATTGCAGTAAATGGAGTTGTAATTCAGCTGGTTTGGCTTCACATTCTCTATTGGCCTTGTTTCTTCTTGAGCCACCATGGTGCCTCCTAGAGGACTGTTCTTTCTGAGAACTCGAGCCAGAGGGACCAAAGGGAGCAAGAATCCTGAGACCTAACTGCAACTCCTCTGAGAGTATGCAGGAATATTTTCAGCCTCCATCTTCCCATTTAATATCTGTCTTGGCTTCTCTCCTTCGGGAAAAGAGAACTGGAAGAGAAGTACTATTCCCGCCCAAAAAAATAACACCCCAAAATTCCTCCATAAAGTGGACATTTTTCCTTAGTAGTTTTGCCAAAACCATTTGGCCAAATGGAAAAACAGGAAGTAGAAGTAATTTCCACCTAATCCTGGTTGTTGATGGGAAATTAGCTTGGCTAAGAAAAATAAAGGATAATGTATGTGTGGGTTAGAGTGCTAGCTTTGAATAGAACCTCCAGGAGGCTGTGGAGGCACATGGTGAGGGCTGAAGAACACTCTGATAGCTTTCTGCTGTTCATCATATTCCAGAGCTGCATTACAGTGAAGAAGAAAACAATGCAGTGGTGTCAGGTGTCCCAGTTTTGTTGCTGCTGGAGGAAAGTGACTTGGGAGGAGGATATGAAGGAAGCCCTGACCTTCATCTTCCCTTCTGCTATATGGATTTGGGCTAGCACTGTTGGGGAAAAGGCAGACCCTAAAAGGAAGGTTTCTGAAGGATGCTGTATCCTCCAAGTGGCTGCCTGAATTAGCAGCATCAAGTTGCCTCTTCTGTTTCTACATTTCTGCCATGACCTCACTTTTCATCTTACTTTTCTGGTTCTTTGCTTTTCCAGAGAAATGACTGTTTCTTAAGAGCTCTGGGGTCTGAAATTATTAACTGTAGCACTTGCAGAATGCAAAGCTCTGTGCTCTTAATAGTTAACTCATTACTTTTGTTTTTCAGAACAATGACCTCCTCTGGACGGATTTCCATCAGAAACTGGTGGATCAGGCACTTCTGACCATGGATACATACCTTGGCCAATTCCCAGATATCAAAGTAAGATTCTCTTTAAGTCTTTTGATCTAGAGTCATAGCAGATGAAATCTCATAAGCATTAATTCTTTGCATCCTCGTGTTTTTTAAAAAGGCGTGTGCTGTTGCAAAAGTTCCTATTAAAGCAGCCATGATCTTTGCAGCTCTGGGTCATGTGAAAGTGCTATTTTCTCCCTTAGGCTTGAATGAAGAATCCATGGGAAAGATGCTGAAAAAAAACCCCTTTGAATATATAACGAGAACCTGTAAAAAATTCTGTTTGTATCACGGTGTAGGAGGGTGGTGTCAGGAGCAGCTCACCAAGCTCTCAATCTTTTCAGTCCTTTGTTATTTTTTAACTTCCCTGTAAGTATGAAACATTGAGGAAACTGTTAGTGGCAAATATACTTTATAGATCGAAGCCAGTGTGAAGGACAGATTTCTGTGTGTTCCCTGAAGTCCTGCTGTGCATATAATCAACTCTTTGCAGGGAAGGAGGAATGCTGAATATGGGTCTTTTGGTGGGAGATCAACCTGGGTTTGAATGGTGTCCTGTAAATTCCCTTCCCCTGTAGTCATCTCTCCATTTGTTTTGGGAAGGTTACGCAGGAAATGTCTTCACCATATGGAAGCACTAGTAATGATATCACCATATGGAATTATCAGCTTGGCTTCTTCCCAATAAAAACAACCCTTTCCCTACCACATGGTTCTTAATGAGTTTGTCAGTATTTGTTGCTTTAGGAGGATCGTGCTGTATCAAAGGGGGGCAGGACATAGGCTTGTAAAATGAGCTCTAAACAGCAATGTCATTGCCTCCTGGGGCTCCTTGTTTTTGTTTCATTTTTCCAACCTCTTCTGTGCCTGGAAATGTGAGGTGGGGAAGGGCTGTTGCTTTCCAGCTGCTAAAAGCTGTAGTGCCTGTCATACCCTCTCACATACATAGTGAGATTCCCATATGTACCTCAGCAGTGCAGAGATCTGTGTGCTGCGGCTTCTTTAGTGGGCTCTCTGTAGGCTCAGACTTCTGCCCTGCTTCTGTCTAAGTTGCATTTTATCAGCCTTAGTGACTGTGTGCTGGTTAGTAACATCAGTGTCATGTTTCTTCCATGCTTTGTATCTTCGTGATTTCATAATCCTGAGGTTGTACAGTGTGATTTTAAAAGGAGTGTGAAACTTGGACCACCCAAATTCCACCAAAACTCAAGGGATGACCCAATGAACACTCACTGATCCTTTCTGTCTTTGGAATGGGTCAAGAGGTAACTGTTACTGATATCACAATCTTCAGGTGATGCTCTGGAATATCAGAAGTTAAAGTTCTTAAGGGTGGCATGCAGGAAAAAAAAAAAAGTAGTCATATATAATTAATAAAATACTTCAGTTGCTTTAGTTGCTGTGGTAATAGTTTTGTTTTGTTTTCCACAAAAAACATTTTTTTTTCTTTTGCTTTTCCTGGAATTCTGCTGTTAGTGTGATGAAGAAAGATGATATATAGGGAGAAGATGATTTTAATTTAGTTAAGTGAAGGTCTGTTTTTTGTTAATGGCCTAGTAACTCAAATGTGTGGTGCTAGATCATGCATGTGTTACTTTGTTAAATTCTAACATGTTCTGAATCTTCTTCTGCTTGAAGGGCTGGAAAAATTCCCTTGAATTTTTTAGGTTTCCTACAGGATCCACAGCAGAAAACATACTATTCCTTTAGTAAGGAAATTTTATAGGTTTTTAAGGAAAACATTTTTAATGTTTGGTGAGGGGGAAATAAAACAGTCTCTCTGCCTTTTATGACTTGAAGAATGGGAGCACAAAAAGTACTAGATCCTTTCTGTGCAGGTCAATATCTCTAGCTCTCTGGAATGGACTTTTGTATAGTCTGTTATTTAGTGTTTCTGAGTGAGTTTTTGATTGTGATTGTGGAGCACGTAATGACTGCAGATCTCTGCAGTGAGTCCAGAGAATATGAACCATAACCTGATTTCTGACTAGCTGTGGTGTTGGAAAATTTGTCTTGCACTGAAACTGGTGCACTGTTTCTACCAGGTTTGAAACCAAATATCAGTAAGAAAAAAATATTTTTAAAATTGAGGTTCAAATTAAGATAGATATATTGTAAGAAATAAAAACATCTGTTGAAGTTCAGCCTCTGCCATAGGTGGTGAGTAGCTACAGCTGTCCTATAGTCATACAGAAAACTACCTTGCAAGCATTCAGAACTGGGCTAAGTTCTATTACTGCCATCACAGGCACTTGCACGATCAGTGGGTACTCCAGAAGGACTTGCTGGATGCTGATTCCTTGCAGCACTTCCATGTATTCAGAATATCCCTGCTGTTCTGACCGAAGGAAAGTATTCATTGCCATAGATCTACCATTTGGACTGTGTGGAAGATGCATTAACTTGCATCTTGGAGACATCAGTGTTGCTGGAAGTCCCCTCCTACAGCCCATCTCAGTGCCCAGCTGGCAATATTTCTCAGGAGGAGTGCAGGCTGCCACCACAGTGGTGCTGGGAAGGTGTCTTTTGCTGGCTGTGGCCTGAGGACTGGATTAACTTCTTCGTGATTCCATTCTTGGAGCAAGCTGAGTGCTTTGAAATTGTCTGGGTTTGCGTGTGGCTGAGATCCTGCAGATTTCTGTGACTCATGCAGTGCTGCAGCAGTGTTCGCTGAAAGCTTAGAGGAGCATGTGTGGGAGACGTGCAAACTGGTCCCAGCTGGTCTGGCAAAGAGATCAGCCCTGAGCGTGGTTTTGCAGTTTATCTGCAGGAGCATGGGGAGAGGAGACCACAACTGCCTGCCAAGGGCAGTGGGGGAGATTTTTGCTTTGCAAGTAAATCCTTGATGCTGATTCTTCATCTTGCAATTCAATTTCCCTGAGCTGTGTGATTAATTTGAAACCTTCCTGGCTCCTTTGTGTCCTCTTCATTCAAGCTCTTCAGTCAGTCTTCAGCTTGCTGATCACCAACAGGGCACCTGGCTCTCCATGCTACAGTTAGGCTGGGAAGCCCTGTGGTCCGACTCATATCATCTGGGTTGTTTGGAGCACAGGGGGAAAGAGCAATGGATGGTTTAAAGCAGAGCAGCCTAATGGGCCTGAGTCTCTTGGCACTTATCTTGCTTAATAGCTAGTTACTGTGGACCACTGGTCATGACCATGGTCACATCAGCTGATCCACACTTCTGACTGGATCTCCCATCACGGGGTCTGAAATGCTGCCCTATCCTGAGCAAGTGGAGGAATGCTTTTGCTGTGCTGGCAGCAGAAATGCCTTCTTGTGTTGAACCATCTTTTGAGCTTCCATGTGAGCTGGGGCTATGGACTGGTTAGTTAGAGAGTGGCAGCAGCCCTCTTGGCCCTGAAAATGAAGAGACAGGTACCTGCAGGATGCAGGAATCTGGTAGCACTTAAGCAGCACTTGAACTACAGTTCTGAAAACATTAATGTCATTCAGAGGTGGGGCTGTTGTTGCATAGATCTGTTTGTCTTCCCTGGCTGGATATTCCTAAGCAGCTCCCTCCAGGGTGGTTGTTGCTATACATGGCTCCTGGTCCTTGTGCAGGCAGAACATGGGAACAGGTACGAGTAGGGAAAGCTGAGGGGATGAGAGGGGTTCCTAAGATTGTGGTTTTGGTTGCTGGGGGAATATTGTTGTAACTCTTTTTCTCCTTTTATAGTCTCGTATAGCGAAGCGAGGAAGGAAGCTTGTGGATTATGACAGTGCCAGACACCACTTTGAAGCCCTGCAAACTGCAAAGAAGAAGGATGAAACCAAAATTGCAAAGGTAAAGCAAGGAGAAGGATGTGCAACTGTCCTTTCATTTGGGAAGTCCGCTTTTTGCTTAATGAGCAGGTGTAAAGCAAACATGTACCACTTCACTGGGTATTCTTTGTTCAGAGAGGTATTGTGGTGAGGTTTGGCTAGGTGTTTCCTTCTCACCTGTTCAATTCTCCTTGAAGGCAGGTTGCGTTCTGGTGTCTCAGATCATATCCACCATCATCAGTTGGGCATCTGTCAGCATTACAGCAAGGCCTTGGCATGTGTTTTCTCAGATGTTGCAGAACCAGTATCCTCTGCTGGAAAAGCATGTGCCCCTCTGGGGGAAACAAAGCCTTGCAATACCACCTTAAAGCCAGAGTAACTGTAAGAGTTTGAGTGTTTCTTGAGGTTGGTGGCATTTGTGAAGTCCTTTGATACTCTAGCCTGTATTTTTAACCAGGCTGAGAAGTGTTGGCACCCTTTGCTTTGCAGTTAGTTCAGGTAGGAAAGATTAGGGCTATGTGAGAGGCAAGTATATCTACAACATGGAAAGAATAAAGATGCTTCTCTCCCCCAGGCAAAAGATCTGTGTTTATTGTCTAACAGTATTTTATTTTTATGCTGCCAGTCATCAGTCACCTGCTCTTCTAGCACATGCACTGTGATTAATCCTGACAAACAAAGAGGAGAATGATTGATGGCTCAGGTGTCATTGCATCATTTGTGTGGCAAAGTGATTCATAGTTATGTATGCAAGGCATGAGGCCCAGCCGGTTGTGTTGTCTGTTGAAAGCCATACTCCAGTGTGTTCAGGGGTAAGAGAGGTATTTCCATGGGGCGTGGTATTAGTTTTGGTATGTGCCTCTGGGATCTTTGCTGCAGTGGCAGTGTGGTAGGAATTCATTTACTCTGGTAGCTGGTGGTCTGCACTGATCTTTGTAATTGCTGCATTCTCTCATGTTGCCACAAGTGCTCACAAAAAATGTGTTTTATTGAGGGATGGTTTGTTGCTCTTTAGGTAACATATGGAAAAAGTAGTACAGGTTGAAGAATGAAGTGTTGCAGTTTAGGAGATGGTGCTCTGTTCCTGATTCAGCCTGTGCAAGTGCCTCTTAATACTTTACTAGACTTCTTGTGAGCAAAAATAAGTGTTGGATCACGTCTTTCTCCCTCCTGTGCTGTAGGCCTTAAGTCCAGGCAGAGTATTGTCTGTGATGCATCAGTGTAGCCTGATCCTGTAAAGACAGGAGCACTGAAAGTACCCCAAAGCTATGTGCTTGTGCTCTTCCCAAAGAGGCAGCCCAACTTCTTGATCCCACAGCTGCTGCCGCTTGTTCAGCTCTGCTGAGCCTGCCAGGGCTCCCTGTGCACTGTGTTTGTAGGGAGTTCACCTCTTCATCCTCGTGACTGCAGTTTTGCGACATGTGAAGTAGGAATGTTTCAGTGTAAGGTACTTTGAAATGTGATGATGGGCCCAGAGGGAAGATAAATCTTGTTTATGACACAGCATATGAATGCAAACTTAGTTTGCATGATGTTTCGTGGTATTATAGTAACATGAACAGCCTTGGGAATGCTTTTTGGAGATATGCAGTCTCTTTTTGTTCTTCAATATACGATGTTCTTTTCCCAGCCAGGACTCCTGCCACTTATTGCTAAACTCACAACATGCCATTAAAATAAAGTGCTGTGGTCTTTCAACTGTTGCAAGTAAATAAATGCCATGATTAATTAATCCTGACCTCTCTTCAAGGAGCTCCCACCTCACAGCCATGGCTTGGAGTAGAGTTGTCTGTGTGCTAGGCCACTAACAACAATTATCTGTTGCTCTTTGCAGCTGCCCGGCTAGTCTACAGTATCCCAGCCCACACTGGAGCATTAATTACTGCTAAACTTGGCATGCTTCAAAGGATTCATAACTGATCAATCCCAGGATGTTTGTTTTATTCCTATCGCCTTGGTGATACTGGTTTGACCCAGCCTCTAAATACAGTCTCTGTGATTTTAATTTTTTTTTAATCCCAAAAACAAAATATGTGTTTGTCTCTCTCTTGTATTCTGTTTTTTTCTCTTTTCACTCAAACATGCTCCCATCCCCAAGCCTGTTTCGCTGCTTGAGAAAGCTGCGCCTCAGTGGTGTCAAGGGAAGCTACAAGCTCACCTCGTTGCGCAAACTAATCTGCTCCGAAATCAGGTGACTGCTGATCTACCTGGCTCTAACCCTGCATGCGCTATCTTGGGCTCTAGATTGTACTGTGCTACTAATGTCTAGGCAACGTTCACTCTGGTCCACGTGTTAAGTCTGTCCTTAATGCTCCTGAGCTGCAGTGGGCACATGGAAGTTGCTGACCAGTGACTGGTCTGAATCTGTGTCTGCCCTGTTGATTTCTGACCAAGTGCATTAACACTAGGCTATTGTTTTCTCCCCATAAAATGAGATGAGGGTGAAGAAAGGCTATGGAATAATGCCAAGATGGAGGGGGGTGTAATGTAGTTCTTCCAATTATTCATTTTTTCTAAATGAAGCAATCGATTTTTACTGTTGCTGTTTAAGAAAAAAAAAAGAGGGAAACGCTGAAAAATTGGCTTCTTCACTTCTGCTGTTGAGTAAAGCCGGAAATAAAGCATTGCTTCAAAAACAATTTCTGTGTTAGGTTGCAATGCTCTCCTGTAGTAAAATCCAAAATCATCACTGGCTTGGCTTTGCTGGTCTGAAAGAGCCGTTTCCAAAAATGCAGAGGTTCAGTCTGCATAGAAGAGGTGGACTCAGCCCAGGGAATTTGTACCCCTCACAGTATATCTGGGAAACTCCAGGTTGTCGTCATGGTTGCATCATGTGGCAGAAATTGGGAAAACGTTTAGGTTATAGCATCTTGAGGGAAATGAGAGTAGGAAAATGAGAGTAGTCCAGATTTCAGATTGAGAATTTCAGTCCTAGTTGTTCCAGAAAGGCACAGCCTCCTGATGAAATTTCCCTTGATATCTATCTTGGAGCTCAATACGAGAACGAGAACAGTGAGAAGAAAATGTTATCAATGGGCAAAAGAATAGAAAATCATTACTTAGACTGGGAGAGCATGAGTTACCTGCTGACAAGGCCCTGGTCTTGTTCAAATGCTTGTACTTTTTCCATGTCATGGTAAATGAATTGCAGTTTGGAAATACAGGAAATAAGGAAATTGACCTTATAGAGCACCTGGGATTTTCAGTCAGTTTGTGATGGAAGATCTAGGAAAATACTAGGTTACTACATAAATAAAGCCTAGGGAAGGCACAGCTGTGCGCAGTCCTGCTTAAGATGCATAGCAAAGTGAGGAAATAAGTATTCATTCTCACTAGAAGGGAGAAGGACGTTTGGCAGGCTTCCCTAGGCTTTCCCTGTACTTTGGGTATGCTGGCAAGGATCTGTTTGGTTCTGGTTCTTGTCTGATCTGTTTAGCTGGTGGTACTTCTGGAGGACTAGAAGGGCAGTACAGGGTATTTTACAAGCCACAGATAAATTGGTTCTTCTACTTCTCAAGCTGGCTGGTATGACTGGGAGCAATACCACCTCCCACAGATTATTAGCAGAAACAGCATATACAGGGGCTCCCTCATTCATTGCACTGTGATCTCAGTGTGCTGTGTAATTAATTGATAATTTTAATCTGCTGGGTGACTTTGCCTTAAAGCAGGTAAGAAGGGATATATGTCATCTTTCTTGCAGCCCTATTGTAGTGGCTTTAATCTGCTAAGTAATACTTTCAGTCACCCTGTGTATTTTCAAATCAATTTAAGTCCTCTAAGTTGTTCCTCTTTTATTCCTTACATAATACTATTGCTAACCTTAGATTTTTGTCTTTCCACTTATGGGAGGCTTTTTTTTTTTTTTTTTTTTTATGTCTAGCCTGAAAATTTCAAGAAGGATGATGTTTGTATTCTGAAGCTGTAGGCTTCCAGGCTTAGCAGGCAGGGAGCTTAAAAAAGAGAAAAGCTTCAGTTTTTGTATTCACGTGATTCTTCAGACTAAAGGTGTTAATGGCAACCCTAAATCTCATTAAGCTCATAATAAAAGCAAGAGGGCTGATGACACTGCATTTATTGAGGAGCCTCAGAGTATTAAGCCCTGCAAAGATTGCTTCTGTTTACCAGCAGCTATGTTGTTTTCTCTTCTCTTATAATTCCTCTTACTTTACAACCTTTAAGCAAAAATGGGGGCAGCAATACTTATTATTTCTAATATTAAATTAAAAAAAAGACCTCATTCCAGCATTCAGATTGCTGGCTTTTTGGGCTTTTAGGAGAAAATCTGTGAGGGATTTCTCTGAAGTCTACTTACTGCAAACTCTCAATTACAAATTTTTGGTGACAGTACTTTTTGAAACAAAGAGGAAAATAGCTTAGAACAGCAAATTCTTGCCTTTTTACTAAGCACTCTGAAATGCTGACTTCAGACCAGGAAAGCCATTCTGGGTGCTGTTGTAGTGATAGCAGAGCAGTGTTTCTCTCCATAGAGGAGAGCCAGCGAGCTGGGTTCTGGTCCTTGCTCCCTGCTGGGAAGAAGAAAGTCTGGCTGAGACTGATGGGGCTGAGGTGGATGCCCAGTGGTCTTCCTGCCTCCTTTGTCTTGGAGGTCTGAGCTGTTTACTGAGCAGTGTATAACTACCACAATGTGGTGTTTTAGGAGAAGTGGTTGCCAGATTGCTAAAAGCAGCAGGCTGGAAATTGCAGGATGCTCATGAGATGCACAGTGATAGGATACGCAACACAGCCATCCCACTATCACAGCTGAGCTGGCTGTGCTTAGTTCTCAAAGCTGTAGCTAGAGGTAATGTCAGGAAAGCATCTGTGTTGTGTAGCTTCTGCTCAAACCTTTTCCATTTCAGACAGTGAGAGAAGAGGAAGAATTTTTAAGATCATGTTTCATGGGCCTGGGCCTTCAGTCCTGCTGCCTCAGTTCTCCATCAGGATGACAAAGGTGATAACTGAAACAGAAGAGCACAGATGGGCTTCAGAGGCAGAGCTCATCACTACATTATGTTTTTCCTCCCTTCCCCACAAGTCAGCCTCATATATCTGCTAGGAAAGTAGCACAGTGAACTGTAGGCAATCCAGGAGGCTCCTGGAATGTATTGAGGATAACTTACTGAGCCAGGTAATAGACAGCCTGGCTAGGGAGTATGTAATAGTGGACCTTTGGCTCACCAACACAAGGGAACTGATTGCTGACATCAGAATTGGAGACTGCCAGGGCTGTTGTGAACATGCAGTGGTGGAGAGTTCATACTAGTGGGGGATATCAGACAGACTGAGAGTAAAAATAGGATGCTAAATTTTAGGAAAGCTAAATTCCAACTCTTCAAGCAGTTAGTCAGCAAAACTCTCTGGGAAACTGTCCTCAAGGACCAGGAAATGGAGCAGATCTATGATCAGTGAATGAACTAGAAGCTGCCTGCCTTACCCAGTGTTAGGACCTTTGTATCTAAGAAAAATCATCCAGAAGTGGCTAGGGAGTGCAGTATCTGGGAACAAGAGCACTGGCTGAGCCACGGGGTTGCTGATTTCTACAGCTGTTCTGGAGTGAACGTTGCCTGTTGCTGATTTTGCCTTTACCTTGGTATGTCACTACTGATAATTGCTTTCTAGGTTCTTTGACCTTCTGAACAGGTAAATGAGAGGGAGAGAGACTGGTTAATGTTCAATTATCTGAAAAACTGACAGAATACAATGGTGCTTCATCTCCCAGCTAGCCCGTCTCCTGTGTTGGTTCTGATTCTAGTCTAGAGTTAAGATAAGTCAAGGGATGGACTGGGAGATTTTTTTCCCCCTCTCTTTAAAATGGCTGAATTAGAATCATTCAGTCATAAGGGGGTTTTAAAGAAGAGTGAGTCTTTGTGATAATCTTTTCTGATCCAGCATAAACTGTGTCTTCATTTAAATGGGCTTTTTTGTTGTTGTTTTCTGCAAGCTTTCTTAAAGTGCTGTTTTTCAGCAAGTAAAGCAGCATATTACAAGAGATTCTGGATGGAAACATCCTGATACCTTCTCCCTCTGCCCGTTCCTTACAGGGTTTGCTTAATTTTACAGCTAACTTTACACCACCCATTGTGGTGTTATTTTCTGGGGGAAACAATTTCTTCCAATTTTAAGTACAAAGAGCCTTTGGTAGCAATGCATGATACTCTGAAAGGTGGAGCTAGCTGGAAAGTAGGAGCTTCTGTGGCTGGCTCTTAAGTCAGGCAAGAGAGGGAGAGCTTAAGGACTCCATGCAGCTCTGTGAGAAACAGGACTTTGAGCCACACAATGTTTTTTAAGTCCTTTCTCCCATCAGTCCTATCTTTGTGTAGACCTGTCACTAAAGAGCAGTAAGCTGTGGGTTTCTTTATTTAAGCTGACACAAAGATGATAAAATACAATTTCATAGAAGGGGTGAGAATCTGACTGGAGGCACAAAGAGAGATCCAGTTCCCACGCTGTTTGGAGCGTGTTGTGACATTCCTGCTGTAGTCACACAGAAGTAGGCAGTCATAGCAGCTTTCTTAATTCCTTTTGCTGTTTCAAATCAGATAATACAAATATTTTACTTAGCAAGCTTGGGGTTGTAAGCCAGGACACTGAAAAGAGGAAGAGGCCACCCAAGACAAATATGGGAAGGGGAACACGTTTGTTGCTGATGCCTGCTGTCATCAACAGAAGCTAGGATCATCATTTTTTGTCTCTGGAATGCAGAGAAGTTCATGCAGTATCATTGGGGTCAAATAGATCAGATAAAATTTAAACTTTTGATTGGGAGTAAGAGGTCTTGTGCAAGTCAAGTTTCCTTTAGCGCTGGTAGTCAACAGCCAGCCAGGATTTGCCCTTGTATTAGATCTTCACCAGTATGAGTATGGCTGCTGAAACCAACACCCTGCTGTTCAAGCTATCCCTGCCTAGTCTCCTGCTGCCACAGCTCATGCTTTTCATACCCTTCCTTGCTTCTCTGCTCTAATCTGTGAGAGAGATGTCTCAGTCAAGGTTGCAGACCTCTTCCCTTCCTCGGAGAGGCAGTGCTTTGGAATGACCGTACTTAAGCAGAGTCCTCACGAGGAAGGACTCTTCTTCAGCACCCATTGGGATGGGTTTCAGCTCTTTTGGAGATCCAGCAAGGGGCAGGGTCCATTCTATCTTCATTTGCATTTGAACCAGTGGCTGAACTGCATGACCAAGTTCATTCAGTTTTTGGAACCAGGGAAATTTATAGAACTTGGAACACTTTAATGGATGTTTCGATTCTCTTCTGAGTATCCGAACAGGAATCTCCATTGAAAGAAACCCTGAGGGTAACCCAGGCAATCTGAACAGGCATCAGCTCACTGGTGATGCAACCCTGGTTCCTGGGAGACCCATTTGGAATGGGGATTACCCCATCCTAGTATTTTGCTTGTTCTCCATGAAAAGTCAAGAGTCACTATTATCCCAACCCTCCAAAATATCTGTCTGTGCTGGAGCTTACTCTCTCCTTTCTCTGTTATTAAGGCTGAAGAAGAGTTAGTAAAGGCTCAGAAGGTGTTTGAAGAAATGAACATTGATCTGCAGGAGGAGCTGCCTTCACTATGGAATAGGTGAGTGCTGGAAATTTTCTCAGGGGCTTGGAAGGACATGAAGACTTTCAGCTTTTCCACAGACCTTCCTGTATAACTGTTCTCAGTTGTTCTCTCGGGCTGGGTTTCAGCTCTTGCTTTCTGGATCATCTCAGAGAGTCTGTTCTAGGATTACCTCCAGCTGGGGAGATCTAGGGAGCACCCATTGAAGCAGCAGGTTTAAAACAACAGAGAGGGTGAGAAGATGGTTTACTACTTTTTGGATGCTCCTTCTGGGTTTAGACAGTTGGGTGAAAAAGTTAATGGAGGAATCCTGATGTTGGCTGCCCTTAAACGTGCTCCTGGTAAGACCCAGTGAAGAACTGGTGGTTACAACTGTACTCCTATTGTGATCTATTTAACAAAATACAGTGTGGGTGAGAGAGGATGAAGGCTTGAGAGATAGGAGTTTTGCTATACTTATGATTGTACTAATAAAAAGGTGAGAGAAGAAGCAGATAAAGCAACAGGGAGCTCTGAGGATGAAATGTAGGAGTTGGGAAGAAACAGGGAAGGCAGGCAAAATCCACCTAGAAGTGCCCTAGCTTCTTATTTTCAAATGCAGTGGCATTGTCTGGGTCAGCCACCTCCACTCCTGCCTCTCCCATTTGCCAGCACAAATTCAGATCCTACCCTACTTGTTCTCCTCCTCACCTTGGCCATGTTTGCCACATGCCTGGCTTTTGTTCCTTCACTCTGTCCGTACTTCTTTGAAGCCCTTCTATTCCTTTATGTACCATACCTGACAGAGTTAAATTCATGTGGGAATGGAGAGCAGGAGGTGTGAGGAGGGGCATAACTGAAAGCCTTTAGGAGAACGTTGTGTCCATTAAGCTCTTCTCTCTTTCATTTTCATTTGGCAGTCGTGTTGGTTTCTACGTCAACACATTCCAGAGTATAGCAGGCCTAGAAGAAAACTTCCACAAAGAGATGAGCAAGGTAAGGCAGCTAACAGTTTGTTCTGTTAACACACGCTGTTCTCACTGTTATTTAACAAGCTGAACAGTATGGCTGGAGAAGAAAAAGCAGCTGACCTGTATACAAGAAAAATGTTTGGAAAAAAAATGAGGATTAACAATACAGGAGAAGATCTGTTTGAGATAGTAATATGAAGAGATAGAACATGGGGAAGAGACCACAGGGACCATGCTGCAGTGGGAGTGTGTGTCACTTGTCTCATTTGAAGATCCAAAGAGCGGAGTGTGGCAAATTTTGGCCCTCTCTTGCTTGCTTTCTCTGTTTCCTCCAAAATCTGGATCTGTAAGTTTTAAACAGGGCACTCAGCCTGGCATCTGTCCACTCAGCCCACTGCCTGGCAGCAAGTTGCTCTGAACCCTAGCTAGCTGTGGGGGATCGAAACATCAGGGAACCAGTCAGTCTGCATGTCAGTGCAACATTAAGCCATTAAGAAGGCACTTCTCAGCAGTAATTCACTGCTTTGTCTTCTTTCCTGCCCTGTGGTCCAAAAGAAGGCATTTGATTGCTTAGTGTGGCCCTTGCATGAGTTACCTGTGTGTCATGGGCTGGTGGCAGGCTGGATTTGTGTTGTGTGCCAGCACCCAACAGAGACCTCAGAAGTAGTCTGTGGGGAAATCTTCCTAGTGCCGCTTTCATTTACAGGTATGTTCTTACTGTTACTTCTCTTATAAGCTGGAGAAGTCTAAAGTTCCTTAGGCCTCTTTGTTGTACCAAAGACTGATAAACTCTCTGTAAATGTTGCTCTGAGCTTGACGAACAGCGGAGAATCCAGCTAGAAAACTTTGGTATTCCTTGCTCTTCATTGTCTTCCTAACAACAAGGTAGCGCTAAGCAACGAGCAACTTTATAATGGTCACTGAATTCCCAGTTGTCAGGGGCCTACTGCTGTGATGTAATGCATCATTTCTGAGCTCTGCTGACATTTCATGGGGAGCTTTCCAATTAATGGCCTGCACTTCTCCACTGGTAGATGAACTGATTGTTAAGATTGTAGGGAAGATTATTACAATTATGAGTTTGTTGCTGTTAAGTTACATTCTGCAAGAGGTGGGAAAGATGCCTGCTAGACAGGAGTTATCCTCTTATATCATGTTGTAGATTTTTCTTTCCTTAGGACTTTTGTATGAGAACAGGCCTTCTGCTTTCTTCAATAGGAACCATCTGTTTCTTATTACTGCAATAGCATCCAATTAAGTGCTGGTGTTGCTGACATGATGCCTCTGACACAGATTGCATTGGATCCCTCCTCCTACTGATGATGTATTTGGCATCCAGTCTTGTTTGTGAATTGGCTGTTTCAGAATAGGAGTGTCCAGAGTGAATATTTCAGCCATTGGTGTCAGGAAGAGTTTAACCCCTAACATTGCATTTCTGCCAAGAGATCCAGGTTCTGCCTAAACTTGGATGGCCCAGGCAGCTTGCAGGATCAAAGCTTGCTGTTGTCTTAAAGTCCTACTTGCTATATCCCTCATTCATAAGGAAGTATAAGGAGCAACTTTGCTACAAATCTAGAGTGGTTCTTCACTTCCAGCACATGGAAGACTCTCAGTTAAACACTCTGCCTGTTTCTACAATGGTGCCTGGCAGCACATGGGTGGGGGTAGGTGAGAAAGAAGCAAGGAGGATGTCTCTTCAGAATACTGAATTCCCATGAGGTGCCAGCAGTTTTTCAGTTGTTTCAGTATTATTTTTTTTCCTCACGAAGGAGTAGCAACAGATGTAGAACTGTTCTTTCATGGGATAGCTAAGTATATGCACATATAGGCACAGGACTGTATTTTGTCAGCCTGAGCAGGCCAGCACAGATTCTATTCGGACACTTTTCTCATTCTTTTTCTCTCTTTTGTTTTTATATTTTACAGTTGAACCAAAACCTCCATGATGTCCTGCTGGGTCTAGACAAGCAGTACTCAGGCAATGCCTTTCCCATTAAAGCACAGCCCAGGTCAGTAACTAGTAACTGGAAACATTGTTTTTCTCCCAGCAGAGGAAGAGGGGCAAGCTGTGGAAAAGGAAGTGTTTCTACTGGGGTCTTGAAATCTTCATGTTGTCAGCTGGGGAGTGATTTGATTGCCTACATATAGCCAGCCAGTGCCCTCCTTGAAAACTGCTAGAGCATATCTGAGATTGCTCTTGGGCTGGGAGACATGATGCAATACCTCCAGCCTTTGGAGGATAGCAGCTGTAGGCCTCAACTTCTACTGCATACCAATATTTAGGCAATTGAGTGGCATCTATGCTGTTTTAAAAGTCTAATTCCATGCACCAATGACATAACACTGGGTTGCCATTCCTCCTGGGTCTGGTTGCCCTGCAGCCCTCCCTTTTTTTTTCTTCTGAAGCTTCCCCCATATACCTACAACTTCTGAGCTAGAGGATCAAGAGCCCCTTTGTTTCCCCAGCCTTCCTTTTGGCCCTCCAAACATCCTCTTCACCAAAGCCCCATGTCCCTTCTGTGCAACAAACATGGATGCATTGCCTCTGTGCGTGTTGTGGATGTGGTTGTAGCCTCAATATCATGAGGCTTTCTGATCTCAGAGCACTTCCCATCTGTGTGGATGCAAGGAGTGTGGGTCCTCTACAGTCTTTGGAGTTTTCTTTTTGTAGTTTTAAGTTTTCTTTCTGCAGCTGGGTCCAGTCCATGTAGGTTAACTGCAAATCTGCACATTCTGTAGCACCAAGAGGGGAGGGAGAGGTCAGGCTCTCGATGAGGCTGCATCTGGATCCCATCCAAATGTGTGAGTGCTGAAACAATGTAGGACTCTGGCTTCCAGCTGCTGCTAATCCCACATGCTGGCTGAGCATGGGGAACAGCCCATGTCCTCAATTGGTGTATTAATGGAGGGAGGAGGTGAAATCAGTAAGAAGTAAGGGCAGGCTGCAGTCAGAGCACATTGGTTTGGAAGGGCTGCATCAGCTGTTGAGACCTCTGTGCTCCCTTGACTCTCCTCCCAGCCTAACCTCCAAATGCGATCATGCATAGATGAGTTTCTTGTCTCATTCTGGCAGTATGTGTGGTGTTTGCCAAATTTAAAGAAAGTTGGAATTTGAGTTAAATTTGGCCCCTGAATTTTGGATTGCTAATACCAAATTCTCAAGATGCATATTACGAAGGTAGTATCTTCTATTTAAGTTAGCACACGATGTCTGTTCATAATCCCCAACAACTGAAGCCTTATGTGGGGCAGCAGTGCCCATCCTCTTGCTGCTGTGCACCATGTTACCATGATACCAGCATCTACTTGGAAGAGGATAAGGTAGCAGGACAGGAGAAGGCCGGAGCTGTTTCTTTCTCAGCTCTTTCCTCCTCCTTCCTTTCTTACTCCAGCAAGTGACTGCAGGCTGTAGTGACAGTAGATCCTAGGTGTGTCCTTGTTGTGGCATCAAGTTTTTGGCACGAAAGAGTTTTCAATGAATTTATTACCCTATGTCATGATTCCTGCCCAGAAACATCTGGTTTCATCTGAGGGTGGAATGGGTATCTCAGCTGAGATGAGTCTTGCCCCAGAATGACTATGTTACCCTTTGCTCAGGGGAACTACAGGAGGATGCATATCAAAGATTTCCAGGACAATAATGCCTTGCAGGGATCAGGAAATACCATGAGGCACTTATCTCTACATCTGTCCTGTCCTTGTGGTTCAGGGCAAGAGCGTGCAGGAGGAAATAGCCCTCACCACTCTGATAGCCTCTTGTGGCCTGTATTAGGAGCAGATGCTTCCCTAGCCCTACTCTGCTGGGAAAGGGATTGGAGATGGATACAGTATCAGGAAATTAATGACAAGATGTGAGAAAAGGTGCAGTTATCCTCCTGCATCACTCTGGCATCTCACTGACAAATGGGTGGAAGGAAGATGCTGAATGGGTGCTTGGAAGCTTAACTTTTCCTCCCCGGTCTGACTGTGCTGTCCTGTAACGGAAATGATTTGCGTGCCGTCCTCAACAGAAAGAAAACTAAACTGTTCGCCAGGCTGAGGAAAAAGATGAGCAGGTACCGGTACGGAGAGCAGCATTTCAATATGTGTTTGATTTAGTTCCTAAAACTGGAGAGGCTGTTGCTGGACTCTTAACAGCCTGGCACGTATTAACCCTGTGATGGGAGAGGGCTCCTTTGCATGATGTCGTGTGTTCATGGCCTGCTGGGACCTTCTGAGGTCTGTGTCTGGATAATCCCATTAACTGCTTGTGTGCCTGGTTTGAATCCTTGCTTCCTTTCCTCCAAAAAAAAAAAAAAAAAAAAGGCGGTGTGAAAGCTCAGGCACTGTCTGCTTGGTTATTTTTGTGCAACTAAAAGCATGATGCTGGGTTGTATGGGGGAAATAAGGTCTAATTTGGTGATTAACAGGATCTAGTTTTACCTAGCAGGGCTTGCCCTTATGAACAGGTCTGAAATGCTGCATTCTCATTCCCTGCCTGGCCCAGGAGGACCAGCTCTCACACACAGTCCTGTTCTGTCTACCTACTGTCTGTCCTGTCCTGCAGTGGGAGGATGGTGATGTGGGAGAGGGCCACTTTCAGCTTTGCTCTTTATTTGCTCTGTTCCTGAGGATCCTCACTGTCTTATTCCATCCATTTAAGATTTGTGCAGAGCTGCAGGAAAGGGGAACCTCTGTTGTTCTGTACAAAGGCTAGTATCAGCAACTTGCCTTTCAAAACAGCTGTGGCATTGAATAACTGGTTTGCCACAATGTCTAGAGTTATTGTAGCCAAGGTCAAGGACTCTGACAAGAATGTGCTGTGGGGCAAAGCAGGGATTGCTGCATAATGGCATAGAAACTTCCCCATATTCATGTTTTTTCCTACTCTTTCTGTCGATATTCCTTCTGTGGTGTCCTTTTATAAGGATTTTTTTCTTTTTTTTTTCTTCATATTTCTCAAGATGATATTTCACCAGCGATAAAAGCAAGTGCTGGTTTTGGGATCCTTGCTTTCTGATCCTGTCTTCTCACTGACCTTTCTCTTTGTCTCTGCTGTACATCCTGTCTGGAGGGAAGAGAATGGTAATTTCACAGGGAATCTGATGGGCAAATATTATTTTTTTCCTCAAGTGAAAAATATTGAATGATTGTCTTGTGAAAGAGGATTCACAGTGCTTCTCTGTATGTCTGTCTCTGACCATGAGCCAGCATTGCTGTGACTGTACCAGGTGTAGTACTTGAGTCATTGTCAGCCCCTGCAGATGCTACGGCAGAGAGGGAGCTAGTAAATCTCATTTGGATGAGCTCTAACCACAACATCCTCCTGCTGTGCTCTAAAAGTCTGGCTGGTGCAGCAGTTAAGGTACTTGACCCAGGCTGTGCTGGGGGTTCTGCTGTCAGAGCAGCTGCAGGGTACAGAGAAATTCACAACCCCTTGTGTGGGGAAGGAAGGTCAAGGGCTCAGTTGCTCTTTGATCTGCAGCAAGAATGTACATTTGGGCCAAGGGACACCTGAGTACATAGGTGCTTTTTTTCTGTCTCCCCTGCTGCCTCTTTTTTGATGTGGGAATAATTCTTGAGTGTTCAGAGAGCTTTGATGCTTAAATAAATAAATAAACAGAACCCAATTACTTTTAGCTAAAAGACCTGATCTGAGCCCTAGCTGAGATGCCTTTTTTTTTTTTTTTCTTTTTAACTTGAGAACTTGGCAGGAGGTGGCCTGTCTGTTTCTACCATATTGGAGATTTGGTTCCATCTTTCAGTGTGGGATTGTTATAAGCATGTAGGAACCCCACATACAGATGTTAGTCTGCTCTTCCAGAATAGATGACTTGCGTGAGGAGTCTGGAAGCTCACCAACACTAAAAGAGACTAGTGGGATTTGGGGTTCTCCTTCACCTGTGGTAACTGCATTAGACCTTGTTCCTGGCTCTCGACTCACAGAAGAAAGGTGACACCCCTGTCCCTTCCCTGCCTCATATTCCTGGATTTGGCATTGCTTCTCAATTGCTCATGGGAACTTAAATAAAAAAAACAAAACAAAAACATACTACATTGACCTTCTTGTTTTGACTTTCTTCTTCTGTGATACTCATGCTTGGTCAGTCTTCACACTCCTGCTTTTCCGTATGTTTTTTGAAGCAAGCAGTCCATTCAGAGACAAGACCCTGCTCTGTGCAGCACACAGTGTGTGGTTTCCTCTGAAAGCCACGGGATCCTGGTGACAAGCTGATTTGGCGCTGGTCACATTAGCTAAACCCGTGCAAAGCAACAAGTGCAGGAATAAAGGTGCTGCTCAGGGAGCTGGAAGAGGCTCAGTCAAAATTAGCACTGGCATTTTCCTAAGGGGGATCAGCCAACACATCAAATAAGCTGTAAATAGCAATGACTTAATGAGGGCTTTGGTGTGGGGCCCTCTCAGCCCTTGTAGGACAAGATAAAGAAATTGGGCTCCCTCTCATGTGGGAGTCCTTCACCAATAGATCTCCAAATTAAGTCACTGCCAGACACCACAAGTAAGTCACCAGAAAGTCATTTCATGGCCTCTAGAAAATGGTCGTGAACTCCTTTCTTACCAGGAGAAATGATCTTTTCAGTTGCATAGTTAGAGAAACCTATCCTTGTGTTGGATAGGCCAGTTGGTAGCCAGGACTCCCAGTGCTGTCTGTTTGAGAAGTCCTAGCAGTCCAGCTGCAGGTCACTGTGTCCTCTTACTGTTTCCATCCTTCTGCAACTCTCATTGCGGTAAGGTGTTGTAGGACCCACACTGAGATCCCAGAAGTGTGAGCTAAAGTTCAAGACCTGTGTCTTCAGTGAGGCTGAGCTCAGTAAGGTCACTGTGTCCACCTCAGATGATGCTGTAATGGTGTTGCCATGGAAATAGCAGCAAGATAAGCTTCTGCTGAAATCGTTTCAGGTTTTCCATGCTGTGAATGAGTTGTGGGAAGCCTGCTGTTCCCTGGTAACTCTCACTGACAGCAAGACTGCCTTACCTTTGCTCTGTGACTGTTGCTACTTAATCTGTAGTACAATCGTGGCAATGCCACAGAATCTTTCATGCAACCCACTGTGTCAAAGTGATTTCTGGGGATATTTTAGGAAGGACTCTAGACATATCCAATCAAATTGGAGAGCTGCAAGGGTTGATGTATGTGTTTTTCAGTCCATCTTCCTTTTCCCCTATTCCTTTCTCCGTTTCTTTTCTTTGCGTGTGTGCCCCTGGTTGAGAGCTGCTGGCATAGAACATCACTGATTTTGTTGCATCATGTTTGTGTGCTGCTGGTGTCACTGTTATCAGAAACATCTGACCTGCATGTGGACTTGAGAGCAAGTGCTTTCTGGGAAAATGTTTGTGGGCTGTATGTAAATGGGGAGAAAGTGGGAGGGAAGAATGGTTGAGGGCAAAGTGAATGGGGTGGGAAGCTTGAAAGCTGGAATGCTGAGCAGGGGGATACGCTTGCTTGAGAAGGGAGGTTTTCTGATGTGCCTTGCTGTCCTTCCTCTTGCTGTCCCTCTATTTGTGAGTGTTTAGGAATGAGGTTATCATGCATGTTAGCCAATGACCACCACACCTCGTGCATCCAAGTATGAGTGGATGTACGTCTCCAGGGCTCTGGATGCTCTTGGGAAAGAGTAAAGAAATGATGTGTCCCTCAGGTCTGTTTCATTGCAGTTCTGAGTCTGTGCCAGGATTTATTGTCTGAGGTTGTAGGAAAGCATGAACTTTAATTTTACAAGAGCTGCAACTTTATCATTGTAAATTGAGGCAAATACTGCTCCCTGTAGATGAGATTGCACAGCCCTTTTGAAATATTCTGTAATATTTTCATTTTGGCTGTGCATAGTTTTGCCAGGATTCTTCTGCTAAAATGTCCCGTTAGTTTGAGTGCTTCTACATGACTTAAGTTGCTTTCTGGGGAGCCAAAGTGTTTCAGCTTTTCCAGAGAACGAGGCTGGGAAAATGGATTTATCTTTATCCCCGTCTAAATTCTCAGATAACCAACTTTTAGCTAAATATCTCATGATTCCACAGGTTGAAGCACAGACCTGACACTCTGCCAGGGCATGCCTTCAGATAGAGGTATTTGCCTATTGCCATTCCTTTCAAAAATCCAAATCTGACCAAGTTATGAACCAAAAAACACCACTGGCATATGCTTCTTGCATCTTAATTCTCTGAGGAATTTTCCTTGATTGTGTCAGAAATGGTCCAGGAACAAGGACCAGCTGGGAAGGCAAAGGCATAAGGAGTTCATCATTGAAAAAACGCTGAAGAAACTTTCCATAATAGAGCTTATTAGCCAAAAACTTGCTGTTTCTTTGCTGACTGGAATGATCTGTGAAACCTCGGTCTGCTGTTCTCTGTTGCAGCTTAGACAGCTTGTACCATGTATCTTTTATTTCTGCCTTAGTTCAGGTGTTGTAGATCTACGTGTGGATCTGTTGGTCATAACCCATGCAACTGTCAGTATGACACCACTCAGAAAATATTTACCTGGAAAAGTTGCAAAATGACCTGCACGGGATTCCTTTCCCCGTATGCTTCCCTCGAGGTATATTACTTAAAGATAGGCACTTAATATAGAATCAGTGAGAATTAAGGATGGCTGTGCTTTTTTTTTTTTCCTCCCTTTTCCACCCATATCTGATGCAAAATATATAAATGCAGTGGGACTTTATTGAGTAGCCTGCTGCCCAGTAATCCTGCTGTGTGTTGGGCAGCAAGTGATTCAGCAAAGATGCTTGTCAGAAGCTTGTAGAGGCTTCAGATACCGTCATTGCATCTCTGGGCAGTGAAGCAAACAGGCAGTGGAGACCAATGGTCTGTGCTGGTTAGCTCAACTTCTCCTAGGCCTTGCTCAGACTATTCTTTTTCTCTCTTTTTTTTTTTTTTCTCTCTTTCTCTCTCCCACTTTCCCCTTCCTTCAGTGACAGCACCCCAGCGAAAGCAAATAAAAGCCCCTCGCCTCCACCAGATGGATCTCCCATCACCAGCCCTGAGACCAAGACTGTTAACCATGAGCTGGAACCATCCACTTTGGAAGCACCTGGGGCAAGCATCCCAAAATCACCATCTCAGGTAGCATTCCCATGATACTGATCGTGTCTCTACCATATTACCAATGCTCTGTGAGTCCAAGACATCCATGAGTTGCTTTTATTTGAACCTCTTCCTGCTACTGAGCACAGAATACAGTGTGGCTGTTGCTCTCCATCAGTGCGGAGCAAGCATGAGATTTCTGAGAATGCAAGTTGTTAATTGATTATCTCTGTATTATGCAGGGAAGAACCAAGCTGTCTCTGAATTGCCTGTACACAGGGATGAGGCTGGTAATGTATTTTGCCATCAGGTAGGATGGTCAAGAAAATCCAGGGAAACTTCCTAGGCAAGGAGGTTTGCTCTTTACATTTGAGTTAACCTGTGGAATTCAATGGTCCTGCCTCTTCCCAATAACTTCCCTAACTGAGGAGAATCTGAAGAAGAAAGTTTTGTGTTTATATGGATAAGCAGGACATCGTTATTTTGCACGATGCTTTACTTTAATATAGTAAAAATACTATCTTTTAATCTATTATTTTAATCTTGCAGTTAAAAATAAGGGTATTATTCCATGAAGAAATTAGCTGGATAGCAGGGAGAGAACTGTTGGGTGGCTTTTGATACCTTTCACGTGGCATTTCTTAGGCCTTTCTTTGTCCTCTTCTTACATGGGAGACACTCAGCAGCAGCAGGTTTAAAATGTGTAGCAGCTGCTTCTTAGCATATCACATGTTGGGATTTAAGGAAAATAAAATATTTGCTTATTTTCCCCATCCCCTTATTGGTAAGTGGGGAAGAAGTGTGGTGGAAAGGAAGAACAAATAGACCAGTTTCATGTCTGCTACCAGTCATTGCATTTCAGTAAGTCAGACAACAAAGAGGAGTCTTCCTGAATTAAATCTGATAAGGATTCTGGGCAAACTGGTAAGAAATAACTACTGCTGCTAAAAAAGGTTGAAAGTAACACAGGACTTCTTTGCTGTTGTTGTAAGTATGCAGTATGATTCCAAATCCAGGCCTGTGTTTGTAGGGTTGTCTACCTTTTCTGGAATAGCCTCTCACAATGTTTTTCCCCCCTTTGTGTTTTTGATTTTCAGAGAATCTAGAGACAAAAAAAGGATATTTATACATTGACAAAAGGGTCTCTTCCAGCGAGGATGCCTGGCTGTATCTTTGCAGGACTTCTCCAGGGTCTCTGAATACCCAACATTAAGCCTAGAGTGGCTTAACTGCCACCACCCAGGCTTGGACCTTGGAGCAGAGTTTGCATATTTAAAGGGAGAGAATAGTGTCTGTCTTTCTAGAACTGCCTTACTATTTTTTTTTTTCCAGAGATCACCACAACTTGATGGAAAATTGGAACAAGAAATGGTACAAATCTATTGAGCTTTTCACTGCAGACTTCACTCAGACTTGTTTTCCCTTTCCTTTAAATAGCGCACATAAACCTTGTTTTTGCCAGGCTGCAAGTGCTTGCTCATTCACTTGCTGCCTTCCTGCCCACAGGAATGGGACTGGAGGCCGCCCCATGTCGAGCAAGCAGAATACTCCAGCAGTTTCTGGAGGGTCAAGGCGAGACTGAAATGGTGTTTAGCAGCGTGTGCTGCCACCACCTGGCAGCTCTTTCCTACTTTACATTTAACTCATTTTCTTAGACCTCAATACGGCGAAGAACAAGAGCTCCATTCTGTGCTTCCTAGGTGCCAAGAGTTGGGGCTGACTCCACAGGGAGGAAAAACAGCTGTTCTGGAGTTTCTTTGTTTTGGAACTTGACTGCAGCACTCCACACCGAGTAGTTTGGTGGTGACACAGGGCTTGAGGGGTCTGGGAAATTTCAAAGGTTCAACTTTTGCTCTCAGTTACACCACTGAAATACTGTAAAGGCATTTCTGAAAACAGCAGAGCTGTATTGAATTTTTAGACCGATAAAGCTCTGTGGGATCCAAATCAGCAAAAAGACTTGAGGGGATTTATTCTAGTCAGCAAAGTTCTTCATGCTTTGTGCAGCTTCAGGTACAAGCCAACATCAATATGCAGTTCTGTTGTCCTTGAGATGGTGTTAAACTGCTGCTGGAGATGATGCTGCATGCTGTGTAAGTCTCTGAAGATACTAGCACATTGGAGAGGGTAGAATTTTACAATAGTAAATGACAGAAATGTCAGGATCCTTTCAGTTTTGAGTTTGGAATCGGAACCTCCCAGTCTGCAGGGAACTTGTATGGCTGCTTTGTTCCAACAAAGAAACAGCTCTTCAGAGTTTGGTTGGAGCTACAAGAGAGCATTGGGCATGAGAAAATATGAAGAGGGTGTGGATCACTTGATCTAGGGAGGGTCTACCACAGCTTCCCACTGGGGCTGGATGCAGTGTGAGGCTGAGTCTTTTAGCTTGATAAGAGAATATTAGGGTGTGTTAGAGTCACAAAGTCAGTCTTCATTTTGTTTTCTCTGGGGTCTTCGTTTGGGCTACACTTGTGACTTCATTAGTGTTGATGTGCATTGGTGAAACTGAGAGCAGAGTTGGACCCACAGCAGTCTTGGCTTCTCAGGAAATTCAAGTGTTCTTCCCCAAAACTGAGATACATGGTAAGATGCCATGAAGAATTCCTTCTGACTTCATGGTATACTGTTTAACTCGTTGCTGGGCAGATCAGAATCTGGCCTCATGGGCATCCCACAGTAAGACAGAGTCTGGGCTCTTATTCCTTTAGGTATGGTAAGTATGGCAAATGGAGGCAGAACTGGCCTGGTCTATTGAATTGTGTTCTTAGTAACTTGTCTGCTTCCTTCCCAGTGTTAGTTGGTTGTTTTTTGTTTTTTGGTTTTTTTTTTGAAGGTTGCACATGTTCTAATTATGTATGCATGTCCTGTCAATGCATATTAATTGTGTTACGCTTCTCCTCTGCAGAGGGAAACTTGCCCATAGCTGAAGTGTAACTAATGATGCCAAACCTTCTCTGGAGGCGTGTGGTTGTTTATTTTAATTTTGTTCCATTCTCCCTTTCTCCCTTCCTCTCTCTCCAGATGGAGTTGATTGGACCATTCTCTGTGCCTGTGGTTGTGATTTCCCTCACCTTCAGTTTTTGTGGCTAACCTGGTTCCTGTCTCTGGTTTTTTTGGGTGTCGCCGTCTGTGCTGTGGCCGTGTGCTCACTTGCATGCAGTTGAGGAAAGGGCCTCCGGTGCCTCCGCCTCCAAAAGTCACCCCTTCCAAGGAGATCAAGCAGGAGAACATCATCAGTCTGTTTGATGACAATTTTGTCCCTGAGATAAGTGTGACAACCCCCTCGCAGGTTAGCTGCTATGCCCTGCATTGTATTTGTCTGCCTCTGAACTTTTTCTTTTGATCTTTTTTCCCTCTGGAGGTGTCAAGCCATGAAACCTGGTCAGGTAAAGGAGGAAGGCAAGCTCAGCATTGGACCTCAGTAGACAAAGCAGGAGATAGGGGGCTATTTTGGAAGGCAAGGTAGCTGGAAGGCACCTTAGGCAAACATGTAGTCCTTAGAGAGCTTTGGCTCATAGAAGAAATGGGAGAAACTTAGCTGGTGGAAGATGCCAGAATGTTATCAGTGTGTTTGTATAGCTGCAGTGTATGTGGAATGTGGCTTCCCTTGCATCCCATGATATGCTGTCTCCAGGCCCAAGGGTCCTAGGTGTGGATGAAGCATGTCTTGTCTACTCTTGTACAGTCCCAAACTCTGACCCTGTCTTTTTTGCCTTTTCAGAAGGCAGTTTTGTGCTCTTTAGATGGTGGCTTTGTATTAACTTTTAAAGCCCGCACATGCACTGGAAAAGCCAAAAGGAATTGGTGACGGAAGCATAGACAGGCAGGACTGTGCTGCTGTGAATTCAGGGCTCCTGACAGACTGCCTGTTTTCACCAGCCAGCAGTTCCCATAAGAATACTTTTTTCCTGAGGTGTGTGACACCTTTTGAAGCCCTAAAAATGGTAACAGCATTTTCAAGCAATGAATTTTCATCTTTACCTACCTTATTATTAACATCACTGGAAGAAAGGATGTCCGCTTGGGGAATTCATTCTGTGTTGGATCTAGGAAAACAGATGTTCTTATGTATACAGGAGCCTGACCAGATTTCTGGCTGCATCATGAGATACCTGCAGCTATATTTTTATACACATATATATATATACATGTATACTGTTGTTGTTTTTTTTCCCCTAAATGCTTGTTAAAGCACAAGTAATGCCTGGCCTGTAGCAGTTCTCATCTGTGACTCATTTGCTAACTTTTCTTCATGTCATGCTGCTCCGTTGCCTCTGGTTTGCCACCTTCCACCTCGCTGCTGAAGAGTCAAGGTAGAGTGGAGAGGGAAGGATGATGTCAGATTTTGCATTGCAATAGATAAAGCCTGCAGAGCAGAAATGATTTGACTGCAGTATTGGAAGCGTGGGGACCAGAGGCAGCTGAGCAACTCTCATTCTCTATACTTCTTTCTCTTATATCATAATGGACAGCTCTGTCTGCCCCATAGTTTACATCTTGTATTTCCATGTGAATGCCTGCCCTTAGCCAGTCGTATTCTGCACCTAATCAGTGCCCTGACCCAGGATGCAATCTGCTGTGACATTCAATCAGATGAAATTTCTGAGGGAGGACTCTGGCTGCCAGAACAATCTTCACCAAAGCGCTCAACAGGCACTAGTGTTCAGTGCATTGCTCAGGGCTGCTCCTGTCAGATGTCTTGGCTCCAGTGAGCTTTTTTGTGGGAGATTTAGGTAAAGGCAAAGGGTGCTAGGCCTTGCACGTAAGTCTTGAATGACAGGTAAGGTACTTCTGTGACCATCCCACCAGTGAACAAGGCTGAAGATTGGGATTTGAACCTTCCTGATGGCCTGAGTGCACTGGGGGAGTGTACTACAATGCCAGTTTTAACATACTGGTCAGAGTTTATTGTTGTGAGATGGGAGAATTTGGTCATCCTCATGGAACTGTGGATATCAGAAAGAGGAGAGGATGTTGTTTTGGGGGGGAGAAGTCCAAAAGAGAATTGCAGTAAGAGAAAATAAAAGGAGGTGAAACATGGTGATGGTATGGGCTGCATGCAGAGGACTTTCACTTAAATTTTATTGCTGTTTTCCCCATGTTCTTCCATAGTGTGGCTGTGATGTAGTTGTGAAGACCAGCCTTCCAGATTTGGTGTGTTGTTGGAAAGGTAGCTGAGGTGGTATGGCAAGTGAACTTCAGAGATCAATGGAAATGGGGTCAACTCCTCCTGGACTTTGAGCTTCCTCTGAAGTGAAATACAAGGAGAGTCATGTGGTTATGCTAAATTTAAAAGCAGACGTATTGACTTGTTTTGAATACTCCTTTGTTGTGACTATTTTATTAAAGGTAATTAGTGAATGTGCTGTCATTGTCTTTAGCTGCTGCATTAATCAGAAAGCTATTCTGCTGACTTGGAAGAGAACAGCACATGTATGCTGCTTTGGAAGACTTGTGTATGCGTGTTTCTGGGATACCTGAAATGGAAAGCATTGTAAATATCGTTTTGAACTGGAGTGTAATTTGAGTCCCGTAACTAGGGTGAGCTTCTATGTTATGTGCTTCTGTGTCTGAAAGGAATTAGGAGCTTGGGGAGTTCTGAGCCTTGCTTGTTTTTTTGTCTGGGTCCACATTGCTGAGATGTGTGGTTAAGTAAGTCTGTCCTGGGCTTTCAACACAAAGGCAGCTGGATGAGCTGTAAGGTGTAGAAATAAATGGAAGACCACCTGAACTGGTTAGTGGCCGTGATCCTTTTGGCTGTAACATGTCAGGTGCTGGCACCATGTCAGCTTATTTGGTCAGATGAGAAGGTGAGTGAGCCTTATGGAAAAGGCTCAGGTTTGGCTCAGTGGAGCCCTGCTTACTGCCCGTGATTAAAGGCATTCCAGAGTCAAGAGCCACATCTAGTGTTTGCATTCCTGCACTGTCTTCTACGCTTGCAGCCATAGCACCTGGATGTTGCATACCTTGTCTATACTGTACGTGTGTGCGTGTCTAACGCTCGTACTGCTTTTCTTCCTCACTGCTGCCAAGTTTGATGCTCCTGGGCCCTTCCAGGAGGGAGCCAGCCTGTTGGATCTGGATTTTGATCCCATTAAACCAGATGCCACTGTGGGGAAGACCCCTACACCTGCTTCTCAGGTTGGTTAATATCACCATTCCCTCTCTCTTTGAAAGTGAGTTATTGGCAGGGGTGGTGTGACCTGCAACCACATCAGTGACAATTTGGACCTGAGCTCTGGATGGCTGGTCTGGATGCTACCAACTTCTTATGCCCTGCAGATGGGCACCTTGGTATTCTCTGCTGGATGTGTAAGTCCAGTAAGAATCACGCGGCTGTTAGCCAGGCCATGGTCTGGTACTAGATGTCTGTGGGGTGCTTGTGCTTTGCTCAGGTGACTTATTGATTGACAGCACGTTCAGCACAACGTATCTCCATCCGTAGATTAACACCCTCTATTAACATCCTCTTTATACTATGTGGATTTAAACCATGGGTAGGCATTCAACTTACAAATAGACTCCTTGATAGTTACTTAAGATGAATAAATCTGCAGACAGATACGTAAGTGACATGAGGCTCATCTGTCTGAGTGTAACAGAGCCTCTGTTCATGGTAAAGAAGTAACTTCCTCCCTGGACATACTACCTCACAGTGAAGTATCAAAAAGGAAGATTCATAATTCTGGTCTGACATGTACCTGTTCCTGTCTTACTAGAGACAGGTGGGCTGCACTTTGGTTTCTTTCACCCAGCCATTCCATTTCTTATGCCTGTGGTTCTTGGCCTGTGGTTTCCACTAAAACTTGTAGTAATATAATTTGGATCCTTACAGTATTTTTCCAGTATCATAAAGTCAAGTGGGCCTGCATGGCTGATCTTTTTAGCAGTAAGATCTCTATTAAAAGTTTGATTTTTCTAAATTAAAATACTGTATCTGCAAAATTCTAGTTATTAGCATAGTTTAATACACACCAATGTGCCAAACTGCCACTTTGGGGAACTTTAAATGGACGGATTGGCATTTCTTGACTGCATGACTGCTACGTACCCCAGAATAAGCTTGTTTTTTGTTGATCTGAATCACCTGTTATAACTTGAATAATTGGGTATGTTGATATCGGATATGAATATGAATTTATTTTAAAATGAAATTATTTGCAATAAATGCAATAAATGTTATGCTGAGTGGGATTTTAAAACCTGTTCAACAGTAACATGTTTGCTGTTGTTACACGTTTATTGTTAGTTTCAGAAGTCACTTAAGAGTCTGAAATTAATACTTTATAGTGGTAACCACAGTACTAAACCTAGCACAAACCTCCCCATTTTCAAAGGATTCAGATTTATTTCCCACAGGGCAGGCAATATGGCAGAGAGGTTAAAATATTTCACTGTTGATCCAAAGATATGGGTTGAAGTCTTGCTCTGAAATAACGTGTAACTCTGGTTGAGGAGATAAGAGAATATTTAACTCTGATAGACCACAAATCCATGATTTTTTTTTCCTGTCAGTACTGCCACTAATAACTGAATGTGGCTTAGCTGTCTCCCTTCATAACAGAGCGAGGAATAACCCTCACTTAGATATCTTAGTGCTTAACTTGGAAATGCAAAGGGGATGAGTGTATAAATTTGCACACTTAAAAAAAACCAACCAAACAACAAAAAATGCGGAGGTAAGTGCTGTTGAATGTGTACATCTGCTTCAGACTGATCAGTGTCTGTAATTTTGTACTTGCTGAAATAATTGCATATAAACATGTTTTGTTTCTGTTGCTCTTTGACATGCATAGTCTTTACCTTGGGATTTATGGGAGGTAAGATCTTCCTATGGCTTTCATCTCTCATCACATACTGTGCGTGTGCCGGTGCCATCCCTGCTTGCATCTGTCTCATTTCCCTCTCTGCTTTTCCTCTTTGCACACCTCAAACCAAAGTTTCTCCATATACTCCATATACTGCTGAGCCCACTTATATATCTTCCCTGGGGCAGCCACATTTGCCACGTCTGGCACTGTAGCTTAATGCCTCTAGCAGCAAACCACCCCACTGCCTTTTCCTGCTAACTCACTTATCTTTCCCTTGGGATAATGCTGTGACCTTCTTCCCAGACTTAATCCCACTGTGGCATCACCCGCACCCTCCACCCTTCAGTGTGTATATCCTATTGGTCTTGTATATGATGCATAAATGTCTCAGGAGCCCTCGGTCCTTAGTGCATGTACTGTTGGGTATATGTGTGCATATTTGAGGTTATCTGTATTATTTGCTGTTCATTGACCATAATTGTCAGAAAGACTGATGTGAAATAACCCAGCCCATGTCCATGCAAAAACTTAAGTATAGGCCCAAGGCTTGCTTGTTGTCTGTCAAAGCTTTGGAGCTTTCTGACAAAGGAAGAGCCTACATGCTTGCATCTGAACCAAACAGGGCACTCATTTATGCCCTCTAGATATATCAAGCCTGGGAAGGTCTCAGAGCACTGCAAAACAGCCCACTGGGAGATGCATCAAGCACTGCTGATTATGAGCCCCTCTGGACAAACAGCTAGCAGTGCAGGCAGAAAATGTTTGATCTGGCATTCATACCTGCAGCTTGAGCTGGCTGTAGCCCATACAGTTGATATAAGCCTCAAGTCCTTGGCTTGCACCAGGGAATCAAGTCCTGGAAATCTTTGGATTCTCAAAATCCACATCCCTTACATAGAGGGACATGGAAGGAAACAGCTTTACCCTTGCTGAGAGTTTGGCCCAAGGACTCACAGCGGCCAATGCTCTCCTTCATGTGAGTCTGTTGAAAGATGTTTCCCTTGATTGTTTTATCAGCCATCAGTGTTTAATCTGTCATTCCCTTTTACGTGCATTGCTAGTCTGTCTGGGAAAGAAAAAAGTCTGTGCACTGGCACTTGAATTGCCATTCAAGTGGACAGGCAATAGGTGAGGCATGACTGTATGTGGTGCAGTCTAGGGTGCAAAAGGTATTTGAAGTTGTTTCTTCCATTTTGGAAACTGATTTCATCCAAAGGACAGTTTAATCAACTGGGGAATGCTGTTACAGCAGGAGGCTCTCACCACGCCAGTTCCCACCTGAACATACCATGCACTGTTGAAGGACAGAGCTCCCTATATCTGGGGAATTCTGTCTCCTCAAGCTTTCTGAAGTGTTTCTGCTCTTTTATGCCCTTGTTCTTAGATGGTGATGAGAGATTTGTTGGATGATTACGTTGTCCCATATGTTATGAGGTTAATAACTATAGAAATTTGGATGCAGGAGAACTTGCTTAATTCTGCAGACATGTAAACTTGTGTTTTGTTTGTGTGATGCTGCTGTTGGAATAAACAAAGCTTTCAAACCTGGCAGCAGCAGTGAGCAGTTCTCCCTCTTCTTTCCATGACTGCAAATGGTTTTTATAGATTTTGGCATGCCTACAGGTACATAAAATAGAAAAATAAGTAGCTGATATGAAAATGCCTTTTGTTGAAATACAGGGAATTAATTTAAGTCCAAATTTCTCTAGTTATTAAATACTGTTTTTGCAAATCAGCTGCTTTAAGAATCTGTGGCTCAGTATGAGCTGCTTTTCACCTGTCCACATAAAAAGCATGCTTGGCCAGATAGAGTTGTGCTGGCATCTGTCCCAATTCTGGTTGCACTGAGTCCAGATAAAAGGCAACCTGGGAGCAAATCTAATTAAACAGGAGAAGCCTTTGTAGCATTTAATATGCATACATTTACCTTAGCTCTGCCAAAGCTACTCTGGGAATCATCTCCTGGATGGGGGCAGGTCTGCTATTTATAATATCCTCTGGCAAAGTCGGCCTGCGGTGGGCATGCTGATGAGGGAATATGAGGAAGGATGTGTCAGGAGAGGAGAGCGTGTGTTAAATGGCACCATTGGAGCAGCTGAAATTTAAGTGATGGCTTTTGGTTAAATGAAGGTATTACTTTCTTGATTATTTCTGCTGTTACTGGGAAACCACTTGGAGAGTTGTGCCAGTATGTATCTAGTACTCAGATGAGTATGGAGTTGGGGTTAGCATGGCTGTTGCTTTACACAGTGTGTGCGTCCTTTGGCCTGGCCAGGTTAATTCAGAGAGCATTAGGGTTCGCTCGCCTGACTGGTGCTGCACATCTGCTGCAGTGAAGGCGCAGACAGCTTGGCTTGGTGTCAGCCCAGGTCTGATGAAGGAAGATGGAAGAAAGATATGGTGAAGGAAGGACGTGCAGAGCATGGCTTAAAACCTGGTGGGTCTGTGCATTGTCTTGTTGTTCTTATGAAGATGAGGAGACCTCCCTGTCTTAAGGATGAGTTTGGGATCAGTCCACAGACTGTTTCTGGGCTTCAGTCACTGTTAGTTGGCTTGCAGAGCCCAGATTCAACAAAATTATCTGTTTCCCAGGGAAACTGCTGAAAGCTGGGGAGGTTCACTGATCGGTTGAACCTGGCCAGAGTGCTTCTATAGGGCTGGGTCTAGGAGAATTGCAACAGTGGGATATCTGGGCAATGCTTTGCTTTGAACATGGTTGTATTTGGAGGTACGTGTGTTTACTAAATGTATGAATCATGCAGGCATGTAAAAACTTGTTTGTTCACGTGTTAAAAATGGGAAGCGTCTGTATTAGCAGTCTCTATTATACAAGTTTGAAGCAGGAATCTAGTTAGTTTATACAAAGAGTTGTCTGTGCTATGATTGAATGAATATAGATTGGCAGTGAAGACTTTAAAGCATTAAAGACTTTAATGAAGGCATTAAATTAGAAAACAAACCTCACTAGACCCGTAAGATTCTTGTCAGGAGTCTTTCTAATGCTGCCTGGCTGGAAGTATTAATGCTTCCAGATCCAGCTTAATTCTTATGCTACTGCAGTTTCTGGGAGGGGCAAATGAATGTCTCTTATTTTTGCATTAAAACAGAGCTAGCCTTCAGGTGTGAGAGACCAAAAGCTTGAAGTTCTGGATGAGTACTAGAGCTCATTCTTTGTCCATATTTCCAGGCGCAATCTCTGCTGGGCAGTGGTTTGTCAGTGATGCTGAATAGTTGCTCCTGGTGGAGGTAGCTTTGTGCATTAGATTCTTCCTTACCCACCATGCAGACCATGCAGAATAGTCATAGCAAATTCTTACAAACAGAACCCAAATTCACGACTCTTTGGGCCTGTCCAAAATCAAACTGGATTAAAATCAGCATAATTTTCAGTTGAGTTTCATTCAAAGCTAACATCATAAAGATGGTAGGTCCACACAAAGTTCCACATCTCGACACGTTATTACCATGCTCTTCTTTTTCTGGGAGCATGAAGGCTTAAATGTTCCTTGATGATTGATGCTTGGAAATAGCCTATTGATTGATCCCTGTCTCTTGGCACGTAAGCAGTCCTGCGTATTCACATGCAACTGGAAATCTAGATGTAATAACAGATACTGTGTATGTAAGTCAGTATGTTAAATCCTGAAAAGAAAGGCATACAGGTTCTAGGAATTGCATTGTTTCTTCTGCAGAATTGCCTCTTGTGTGGCTGAGAGGGGATTCAGGCTTTGCTGTGGTTTCTCTAGGCTGCAGAGAATTGGGGAGGCAAATGTAGTGAGAACTGAAGTTCTTCACCTATTTGTCAGCAGATGGCAGCAGTCAACCGTGTAGAGAGCACTTGGACAGACTGAGTTGTACTTTCCAGACACAGACATGATGGTAATGAGAGTAACTCTCTACTTGAATGGATTCTGTGTTGCAGCCTACAGAAGCAGCCCATGCAGGAGCTGAAGCAGCTGGATCTGAAGCAGCAGCTGGAGCTGAAGCATCTAAAACTGAAGGTGATTCAGGATCGGTAAGTACCTCAAGAGAAATAGTTGCTTCTCTCCACCACTTCTCTTTGTCATACAGCCGACATATGGGAAACTAGGCTGAGAAAAGAGACGTGCAATGGCTTGGAAAAATGCATCCCTGCCGCTTCAGCAGTTACAATGGTCTTACTCAAAGGCCAGAGTTAGCTGTTGTATTTTCCCTGTGTGATAAGGGATAAGCTCAGCTGGACGATTTTTAAAAAGAACCATCTATTTGTTCATGTCATGAAGCCTGCCCACAGCCCCTTCTGTATTAAGCTTGCATCGTCTGATGGGCTTCTCCTTTCCCACTATTTACTTCACCTCCCTGAGCTCTGCCTACATCTCCTGAACAACCAGATTTCTTCTCTTTTGACACTATCATGTTTTTAGGGGTTGGAGTAGGTCCATCTTATGGCTGCTTGGTTCTTAAAGATTGTCACTTGTGACTTGTCAGTTCTTCATGGACTTTAGAAGAACTGCTTTGTGACTGTATTAAATGGAAAATACTGCAAATGTGGTCCCAGAAAAATGCTCCAAATCCTCCATGAACTTTGCAGCCATAAGCAAAGGAGGGCAGCAGTCCTCTCCTCTGTCTTTACTGTCCTTTGGAGTGTTCTCGTCACTGTTGGGAAAACACACTGAAACTTTGGATGGAGTTGGGACTCCCAAATAGGTTCTGGATAGTTTTGATGTGAATCCTTCGATATGGATCAGGGAGCTGCCCATCTTGGATTCTCCTTTCTCAATGGTCTTTTTTTTTCCCTGGCTGCTGCCTACCAGAGCTCTCTGCCCGCTGTCGTTGTGGAGACTTTCCCTGCTACTGTCAATGGCACCGTGGAAGGAGGTGCCTCCTCTGAAAGAGCTGACATGCCCCCAGGATTTCTGTTCAAGGTAAATGCATGCTGGTGGGGCACCAAGTTCCTGATGATTTTGTTCCTGTAGCAGTTTAACTACATTCACTAAGCGTGACCATGGGCTATGTCACATTGAAAGGCCTTGGTAGCAAGACAACACAAATGCATCATGCCCTTGAAGTGAGAAGTGACAGTCTCCTTTTTTGTTTGTCTGATCTGTTGTAGGAAATTTTTTTTTTTAATTTCAGTTATTTCCTCATATTGCTTTTTCTGGGAAATCCACCAAAAGCAGAAGGGTGGCTAACCTTGAAAGAACAATAGGAGGGTCATTACATTCTGACTGATAATGGGCAGAATTATAGTCTGTTATAGTAGTTGCACATTATTGTAGTAGTTTAAGTGAACGGCTTTGGCTTGAAGCAGAAAGACTGTAACACAGGTATTGATAGGAGATGGGATGGGAGAAAGAGAAATACAACAGGAGAAAATCACTTGAAATTCCAAACTGATGCTCTTATATCAAACAGGGAGAGTAAGCACAGGTGACAGAATGGGGAGGCTAAGACCTCTGATACTCCTGAAGTCCAGATACTGAAAGAATACAGGGCACCACTTGAGTGAATGCAAATCTTAGGCCCGCATCATGGGAACACCTGAAACAACCATCTAAAGGAAGGATGTGCAGGTGCTGATGCATAACTAGTTGAGTGAGTCACCAGGGATGTTCCTGTGGCTGTGCTGGTCGGTTTTAACATGCTTGTGACTCTCCTCTTTTTTGGCTATAGGTCCAGGCTATGCATGATTACACAGCTACCGACAGTGATGAATTGCAGCTGAAGGCCGGGGATGTGGTGCTTGTGATTCCATTTGAGAACCCTGAGGAGCAGGTGAGCAGGGAAGACTGGGTGTGTGTCCAGGCTGGGATGAGCCAAAGGGATTTCTGGAGCTGCTTCTTCCTCCACTAACAGTCTGGCTGTATGCAGAGTCATCAGTTTGTGGCTGGGAACTGGCTGCAAAGCCAGTTGTTCCTGTCTTTGTCTTCCTGCAACAGAGGAAGACTCTGCTTGTAACTGGAAAGCAGAGACATTATCCTGCATAAAGCATGCGAAGCAGCCATGGTGTCCTGTCCTTATCAGGGCATCTGAGCTAAGGCAATGGCTTTCTTGAGGGAGCCCAACAGAGCCCATACTTAGCTCCTGATCTTCATGCACAGCCATCTGTGACCACTGCAGCGCAGACAGTGGCACTAGCAGGAACCTCCCAAAGTTTTCCAAAAGATAGTGTGTGGCCAGGAGATGGCAGCAGAACCACAGGCTGGAGCAGGATGCCCAACTCCAGAGAACATTCCCCCTGTCCCTCTCTGGCCTGGATTTAATTGGCAGTGTTTTTTCTTTAATCTCAGCTATTTCTAAAAGCCTCGAGTAAATCCTCCTCACTTGCTATGTTTGAGGGCTTCCAGCTGATTGGGACTGCAGTGGTTTTACTATCTTGGCTGAGAGAAGTGGTGATTTTGTAAAAAATATAGCTCAGACCTCAGATTTTCATTTGGAAAAGGAAGGGAATTCTTCCAGTTGATTCAGAAGTCACTGCCTCTTTGGGTTTGACAAGATTAGGATTTCAGAAGGGGTAAAGGAACAGCATAGTTCAAAGGTGATGTGATTCATGTGGCTCAGCTGTTGACTTTGTGAGTTACAGAAGGAGATCTTGCTGCTGCTTGTGAAATGGGATCTGTAATACATTGGTATTTCCCACAACGCAGAATGCTCTGTGAGGAAGGATTGTATGGGGAGAAGCAGTGATTCCTTCCACAGACAAGACTCTTCAGTGGGTGGGACTGCACTGCACAAGCATTTATGAGCATTTCCATCTCATAAGGCTTTTTGGAGGGAAATGAAGGGCAGCTCCTCTGCTTTCAATGGTAGGAGATGGCATTTATGGAATAGTTTTTCAATGCCCTATGTTTGCACTCTAGCTGGATGTGGGTGCAACAGCCATGAACTCGAGACTCTCCAGGCTGCAGAGGGTGAGCTCTGAGTGTTGCTAACAAACGCTGTAGCTGCACTGAAGCCCTCTAACCCTCTACAGTGTATACTGTGCTACAGCTCATTTCCCTAACCCTTACCATACCCAGCCAGAAAATCTTGGCTGTTAACATGTGCATGAATTGTGCACGTGGGTGGAGAAAGCCTAGGATAATAGACTGTGAGCCGTGTCCCCATCTTGCAGCTTAGGTGTCTGTGTTCATCGGGCAGGCCTGGAGTCATCTCCCTTGACAAAAGGCATTGAGGGCAGCAGTGCTTCTAATCTGGCACTTCACATGATACTAAGAGCAGTCAGGAGTCAATCTAGGTCCTGGTGTCTGATCCCTATAGCTGAGGAGACCCTTTTGAAGCCGGATGCTGTGGGAGTGATGCATGCTGTATGGCACATACACTAGATGCAAATGGATGAGCTTTTGTGCTTGCTGTGCTGTGAGCTTGGAAGCTGCCTTCCAGGCACTTGCGCCCAGCGCCTTCTGCCTAGTAGTTTGTCTTCCTGATTTATGGCATGTCAACCTGTCTGCAGCCCCTGCAGCTGGTTTCTGCAGATGGGCTCCTGACTCACGTCGTTCCCATGACATCCCCTGAATGCTCAACTCTAAGGCAGCAGCAAGGGCTGTCTGAGCCTACAGGCACCCAATGCAGCCTGCAAGGAGCAGGGAACTCAGGTACAGTGGCTGGTCTGAGCTGCTGCCACTTGGAAACACACAAGCATGAGAGCAGAAGCAATAACGTGGCAGTAGAAAGCAATACATGCTCCATTGATCACCCCTACTGTGGGCTGCATTGCTCCTGCACTGTGCAGGTATGTTTTTAAAGAATATGTTTGAAGGGAGGCAGTGCGTGTCATTGCGAAAATTCACAGGTAACTCCTGCTGGTTCCAGGAGCGTGTCAGAACAACTGTGTGAACTGCATACAAGCATGCCCCATTTCTCTACAGCTTAGAGCATCTGGTTGCCTGAGTATTTCTGCTCTGGCAAGTTATGAAGCTGAATGTGTTGACATAGCTCTAAATGAACCTGGTGTATGCTTTGCCTAGAGGAGCAGATGCAGAGCAAGCTGTTAAGTTTGAAGGCAGTGTTTCCTCATACAGCTCCATTGCCTCAGGCTGCCCCACTGCAAATGGCACGCATGAGCACTTGCAGGTTGCAGGGGTGGGTGGCATGCAGAGGTGGGAGTAGTTCAAGGCATGCCTTCGACTGGATAGCTGCACACCTGAGCCACAAACAGTGCAACCATCTCACCTTGAATATTTCACTTCCCTCATGTACTTCAGATTGAGTAGAAATCTCAGTGTTGGATGCTTTTCAGAGAGCACAGAGATGGAAGGAAGTCTGGTTCTCCTCCTGAGCAGGTTCTACTAGGCAGGACTCCTTTTGCTTCAGTGAAAAGTCATCCCTATTTATAGAGGATTGGGTTTAATGTCTGTGGGTTTAATGGCTAGGGAGGATGCTTGTATATGGGGAGTTTTTCCAACCACATTTTGCATTGAGCCCAACAGCTTGCTGGGTTTTGGGATTAGATGTTGAGCTCCTCAGCTCTCAGTTCTCCTAGACCATGTCTGTATTATAGCAAGACTCATTTTGTCTGTGTAAGCTGCATAAAGTGCTAATCAAACAGGAACAGAAGATGAGCACTTCCATAGCACCAGAAAATGGGTCTTTCTGAAGACCTGAGCCCTGTGGAGGTGCCCATCTCTTTTCTGATGATGGAGAACATCAAACCCATTGTGTTTAGGTAGTGAAAGGTAGGGCAGATGATTGGATCCCCTTGCTCCAGAGAATGTCTCCTGCTGTGCTGGATATAAATAATGACATGTTTCTATTGCACTTGTGGATTGTGTACATTTTATTGCTTCCATATGTTCTGGGTCAGACAAGTTTTAGTGCTGACTTTGGAATGTGGCCTTTTCTGTTTAAAAGGAAACAAAAAACACTTATCTCCCTCTCCTCAATCCTCTACCTGGATCATCTCCAAGCCAACCATGAGCATGGCTTCGATGTGCCTTGACATCTCATTGGCCTGCACTCTAGGAAAAATCCTCACTCCTGTCTTTCCCTCAACGTCTCATCTCTGTCTTCTCCTCTAGGATGAAGGATGGCTGATGGGTGTGAAGGAGTCTGACTGGATCCAGCATAAGGAACTTGACCAATGCCGAGGGGTTTTCCCAGAGAATTTCACAGAGCGGGTGCAGTGAAAGCATGAGCCCGCCAGCCACGCTTCTGCTGGAAGAAAGCAAGTTTTCTGGTAGATAATTGAAAAAGAGCAGTAAAAACAAAGAGAAATTTAAAGGAACAGAAGCCTGAAAAAATTGTCAACTTAAAGGGTGTGTGCTTTTCAAAGGGCAAGGTTTCAGAAGTAAATTGCAATTCAAAGCGTTATCGAAATATTTAAATACTACTTCTACTAAGGCAGACCAATTATGCTCTTCCTCCTTTGGTTTAACAGTGTTTGAATTCAGAGGACTGACACAGAAGCAACTCAGTGTGGTTCTTTAAATGCTGCATTGACTGAATTGGCGCGATGTCAGTCCGACCCCTGGAAAGGCAGCGTTTGTCTATTGGCTTGAGAGCAAAAGCTGCATTTGCTCTTGGGTGGGTTCACCTGTTTTGTCTTGAAGGTGGCTTGCATGGCAACTAGAAAAATTCAGCCTTCCCCACAAGATCAACCTACAGTAGGCCAAACTTCCTGTGATGCTGTTGAAAAAAATATTTAGTGTATAGTGTTCACCAATACAATGTATGTGTGTGTATTTTATTTTCTTCCTTTAAGACAGTGTTATACAAACTAATTTTATATGTGTAGAGAGAGGAGAAACTACGTGGTAATGACATGGAGGTGAAATGTGTCAAGCTGTGCTCAGTCCAAAGTTCTTTCAACTGCAAGCACCTAAATTCTCACAGTAGTGTATTGGCCTGTGAGAGCTAAAGGGAATGGAGGATTTGAAGAGGACAACAAGACAAAATGAGCAGATGCCATCTACCTGATGGGAATGATGCCCTGCCCCCACAAGCCCTGTAGGCACTTTCAGAAGAGTTTAAATTCGTGTAGATGGAAGATAGCTCTCAAATCTGAAAGGAAAATGTGTTTTTAAAGAAAATTTAAAGAAAAATATTCTTCTGAAAGGATGTCTAAGAAAAAACACTGAGGAAAAACCATTTGCTTTCTGTATTTTTAATTGGCATTGTTATCTGTGGAATGGTATTTATTTTTTTTTTACTTTCCTTTGAAGATTTCTGTCAGTGAACTATTGTTAGATCAGCTTTCTCCAGTACTGTGCTGGTGATGAAGTTAACCTCTAAGAAAACTGGACTCTCAAAATACTCATTTAAAATGACTGCATGACTTCTTGATATTTTAATACATTAGAAGAGGAAGGCAAGAATATCAAAGTGTCAGTGTCAAGAGGACACTCTGCAGTCTAATATTGATGCTGAGACCTTTCCTATGCTCCTGTTTGTTTTTGAGTTTTGTTTTTTAGTTTAAACAAGCAGATGACAAAGCTGTTTCAAAGTGCATATTATACTTGTTAAAGTAAGCCGGTCTGACCCTCCAAGACTCTGAAGTCCAACAAAGGTACTTTAAACTTTACTTGAATATTGATGCAGCTGGCAAGCAGGTCAGGCTATTATCTCTATTTTTTTTTTTTTAATGGCTTCCCACCCTTCCTCCTCCACAGTCTTTTTGCCTTGAAGGGATTTTTAACAGTAAGGTTAACTCTTACTGTAAAGGGACAGGATCACTCGTGGAAATAATCTTCTTATTAGGAGCTGGCTTTTTCAGAGATGTGCAGGGTGCTGACACACACTACTGAAAATCCCACTTTTCCTCATCTGCTTTAATTACTTGTAGGACAACAGAAAAAAAAATACATTGTAGGGCAAAAATGGTTTTCTTTTGTTTTATTTTTGTTTATTTTTTTTTAAGCTTTAATTCAGAGCAAAGGTCAGATTTTGATCAAAACTATATTGTTGTAAATGCAAAAATTGCCAGAGTTCTTTCTGCTTTCACCTCAGAAAATAGCTTGTGTTAGTTCTTTTACAACAATATAACAAGCATCAAAATCTGTCCTATATATCCAACTCCATCTCAACAACTTTTTTTTTTTTTTTTTAATAAACTTGAGGAATTTTTGTTTCTCATCACTGTTAAATCCCCAGTAGTACTTAAGAGTAATTGCACGCAATACAGAAGGACTGGACTCCACAAGTGGCAGTATGGTGAGCCATTGCTTTAGAATACTGCGCTATTTGGATTATTGTTTTTTTTCACCAGGGTTGTCGTTATTATTATTACTTTTTCTTTCCAAAGTATCTATTTTTATGCATTTGTGACTCTCATTACTCCTTTAAAGAATATTCATAGAAGAAAAATATACATTTAAATATACGTAGAAATATATATATATTAAAAAAGCGGGTTGATCCAATTAACATAACGCCGTCAGCTTAAAATGTTTATTTTTATGCAAAACCTGTGGATTATTGTTTTTTAAAAAAAGACAAGATTCTAAGTACCAGAGCTGTGATTTTTTTTGTCTTGCAAGTAATTGTTCTAGAACACTTAGAAAGCTGTGCTGATACCTAATTTATTGTGGGTTTTTTGCTGTTGTTGTTGTCTTCTGCTGTGTTTGAACCAGGTGACTGTCCCAACAGAAATCCTTGTAAGGCCTTTTCTTTTAATTGAGCTTGCAAAGCAACTATCCAGTACTGTATTATCCCTGCAGAAGTGGTAACACTCTGCAAAGAAGGGATGCTGTTTTCAGGTCATGTGATTGATGCTCAAGTATTGCTAGTAGAGAGGACGGTGCATCTTTCTCCATTTGCTTCATTGCACCCACAACCCCCATGCCCCCCCCTTGCTTAGAGCACGTATGAGGGTTACCTAGATTTTGCTGTGCTTGCAGTATCGCATCACAGATTCTAAAAATGCAGGATTGGGCCCACAGGTTGTAAATTGCCTTATATGGGAGTAGGGTGGCATAGCGAGAAGCTTGTAGATGGCAGTATTCTTTGGAATCATCTCTATCTCCTGGGTTATGTTCAGCCCATAAACAGGCACATCTCCTCCGATTTTCAGGGTTTTTTTATCTGCTAAATACTTTGATTTTTGGTTAGTATTACCTGGTGAAATAAAATTCCCATTTTCCTTTGGCTTAGGACTGATTTAAATAGAAAGAAGGATTTAAATAGAAACTCCCAAAGTAGGCTGTGCCCACAAGTGGTTTTTCAGTTTGCAGGCTGAACTGAAAAATCTGGGGAAAAACATTGTAAGGGTGGCCTGAAGCTGTAAGGGTGACCTGAGACAAGTTTATTTGTTTTCATTTTCTCAGTGAAATGAAAAAGGGAAAAATCAAAACATTACGAAAAAAAATCCTTTCAAACCAAAATGAAGCATTTCATTTTTAGGGTTGCTTTTTCACTTTTTTAAATACGTTATGACTTGGGCTATTAGAAGTTGATTTGAGGCACAAATGTGAAACTTGTTCTGAAAATGCTGAAAGAAAAATGTTTTATTGTTAATAGTCTTTTTGCCTTTGCCTTTTTTTCTTAGTCTGACAAATAGTTTCAGTTAACCCTTATTTCCGTTTTTGGTGAATGCATTGTCCACTGAAGAGATCCAAAGAAGCCTATTGCCCAGTACTGCTCCAATGACAGGTACACTGGACACATTTCAAGGATTACCTGGTATTCATCCCAACAAAGCTGCTGTTTCCCCATCTAATAATCTTCCACTGGATTGTTTTACTGTGTGAACAATAAAAGCATCTTTCAGCCCTTGCCATTGACTGGTATTGTAACTTGATTTAGACATTCTTGCTCTATCAGTCTCAGTTTGGACATAGACTTCTGACTTTAGATTTATAACATTTCTCCAATTTGAGCCTAACCCCATTGTGCAGCAGGAATTCTCACTTGCCCAAGTGATAAGAGAAATAAGGCATTATTCTTTCTCCTTTTTTCTCTCTCTCAGCAACAACAGTAATAGACATTTACTAGATAGAGTTAGGGAGAGGTCCCAGAGCAAACAATGAATGTATTGTTCCACATGGGACTCCTGCGTGCTCTGTGTTGCTTTCCATGGGCATTCTTCAGCTGCCTGCTTTTACCACCTTTGCATTTCTTGACTGTGGAGGTCATGCATTAAACGGGATTGTACAGGCTTCATTCCAGGTGCCCAGAGTGATCTGTTTGCCAGTCACTGGCTCTGTTTTTCCTGTTCACAGGTGCAGTAAACTTTCCTGTTGAAACATCCAAAGACTGCAGCCAAGGTAAACAGCCCCAGGTCAAAGGGGTCTTTCTTTTATAGCCTGGAGCATTGTAAGGGCTCCGTTTTTCTGCCTGGAATCAGGTGTTAGCTCAGTTTAGTTTTGCAACTGTGCTTTGAAGGGAAAAGGTCCAAGGCAGCTTCTGCTCCCTTAGTGTGACTGTTGACCCTACTCATAGTCTGACATTGAGGTGCAGTTGACAGAAACACTGCAAAATAGGTGAGAGCAAAATTACAAATACTGGGGTGCCGAGGTCCTCTTGACTTTAGTTAGCCTCCATGTCAAAATGCTTCCTGACCTCTTCCTTTTCTCTATGAGGATGATGTTAGTGTAGGGCATTTCCCACCAGCCTGAAGCACAGAACTAGAAGATGCACAAACTTGTGTCCGTCAGCAAATCCTGTGCAGTGCAGCTTGGTAATGCTGATAGCAGGAAAACTAGCAAAAGCTTTTCTTCTGTGGGCTGCCAAAGGAAACTATTTCTTGCCACAGCTGGCACAGGTGCTAGCACATGGAAGCTGAGAATTAGAAGGTCATTTCAGAAATTATATTTATGGAAATAAGTGGAGAAACTACAGCTGTGAAGACTTATCTGTATGAGCTTGTATTTTGATGTGTCTCAGAGCTATAATTCCTTCATGTGTTTTACAGTGTATTCTACTATTCCTGTCCCTAGTCTGCATTTCATGTAGATGGTCCCTACATGAATCTTGCCAGATGCACTTCTGGGCTTATTGCTTCTCTTTAACTGAATTAAATTGCAATGACTTTGGCAACGTACTGGCAATCTCTTTTCCTTCTGTTAATTCAGTCTCTGGATTTAACCATGATGACCTGAGAAATGTTTGGTTTTTGGGTGGTTTTTTTTTTTTTTAATTATTATTTTAATTCTTGTTTTGTTTAAACAAAGCTGAACAATTCCCATTGTATTCAGAGCTGTGACGCCCAGTTCCAGTGACAAGTACTAGATGGATTTGTCCCATTTTGTTTCTTGGCGATGTTGAGAAATATAATTTGTGTCATCCTAAATCCTGTGTCAGTTTTTCTTTTCTCTCTGTCTCTCTCTGTCTCTCTCTCTTTCTCTCTCATTTTCCTTACCTGAAACAATTTAGTA